CTTTAGGAGCTGCGGGCCCCACTCTACACAGGGCAGCGGTGCTGGCGGGGTGGCTGCAGGCAGGGGCATGGCGGGCGGTTGACCTTCCATGGGCCGGGCCAGCTGGTGGTCTACCCATTGCTGGACCTGCACAGCCGCCACCTCGCCTTGCATGCCTAAGTGGCCATCCTGGAGCACCTGGCCCGCAACACCTGCCTCCACCGCCCATCCCGCGCAGTACTCATTTAAATAATAATTAATAGACATGTAAGCATAATTACAATATAAAATTTTATTGTTACAAATGTTTTTATTATGCATTTATCATATTATACTGTATTCTGTATTATTGTTGCAATGAATAAAATGTTTCTTTTATTTACAATTTTTTTTCTTCAATTTATTTGTGTCCTTTTCATTGTAAAAAAGTTAGTCACCTTAGTGTTAGAGGCTTATGCTATAGCTTAAAAAGATCAATAAACATTCTGGTTTAACTGCAAATTAACTGTCTTTGTTCCGTTCCAATATGATCCATGACATAAACTTGTAACATTTTTCACAGGCCCTGCTTAGTATATTATACAATTGATTGCTTGCATGTTGAATGATGGGTTAGCAAACAATTACTCAGATAACTGCACACAGGAAACATTTTCTACCAGCAAAATTACTTAGCAAGAGCAAGACTATAATTTTATTGTATGCTAACCCATGATTTACTGAATTACTGTAAACAAATTGAGGATTTGCATAACACACTGAACTATAAACTAACTGTGGGTTTATAGAATGCTAAGAATCCAGAAACCTCAGCTGTGTAAAATGTGGTGGCACAGACAGTTATGTGTGTTCCTAAGAGGACACATTACAGGTCTCACCCTTATCAGCTCCTTACCACAATTGGGGTGCCTGAGTTTCAAGGCAATAGTTTTCCCCACAAGAACCCTGTGAGGTAGGTTGGAATGAGAGTGAGCGACTGGCCCATTTACATAGAAATTTATATTTTTATTTACACAGCAAATCACCCACTGTGACTGACAGCCTCTCTCTAGGGAAATGACCACTTATTAAATCTTTTCCTATGTGATCAGATGAATTTCCTAACCATTAGTTTTTTTCTGACTTGCAGAATTTGCTTTCATTTGACAATCTCTTTGATTATCTTAGCTGGCAGTTGTAATATTGAATTATGGCATGGCATCGTAAATTATGAATGTCCATTGACTTGGTATTTATTTTTAGGCTTTTTGTTCTCTCTCTAGTTGTGCAAAGTGTTTTGTTTTGTTATTTGTTATATTGCACAGCATCTGTCCTGCTGCTGTTCCTAATAAGGAACTGAACTGAACTCATTACTGTATTCCCATATTATAGGGAGAAATTTGGGCCTGCAGCTATATCCAGACACATGGGCTTCACTTCATTTTTTTACTCAAAAAATGGCTCCTTTGGCCCCAGTAGGATGTGCTGACCGTAATCAGGCTGAGGTCACAGATCAGGGAATTCATCATTTCAGCTATATAACTAGCCCAAAGAAACAGGACTGCAAATGTTCATAGCAACTTGTATTTAAAACTGTCTAGTGCAAGTCATTGTTTTATTATTTCATGATTTTTGCAGATAAAGGACTTCTAAGATGCGAAATAAGACTTTCCACTGATATATTATTTCTACAAAAATTTAAGATGAACAAATTCAGGGTGCCCTCTTGCGAACTGTCAAGACAGGAAAAGTCCTAAGGCTGAAAAGTTTTGCAAAAATGAGCATAATGAGACTGCAATGTTTTCTGCTGGGAATATGCAAGGGTACAATGACCGGCAATGACAATCGGGGAGCTGAGGACTCGTAGAATAAAACCTATCAACTTTTGATAATTTCATATATCTAAGTCCCCACCCCTCTACCATTAGGTCTAGATGTGACTGAACCTTATCTTCCACAAACCCAGCCATAATGGTAAAATGATGGATATGGTGGGAATCATAGTTCAGGAAGTCTCCCCCATCTATTCCCCCTCCAACAGTATCATTTCCAAAACAGACTTTTTTGGCTTTGGGGCATTCTTGGAAGCTATATATATAGCAGTTAAGGCATCAGGCCAGAAACTGGGCGACTGTGAGTTCTTGTGCCGCCTTAGATGCAAATTTAGCTAGGTGACTTGAGCCAGTGATTCTCTCTCAGGCCTAGGAAGCAGGCAGAAGAAACAGAAGACATAGGAAGACATTTCATCAGCCTAATTTTAAAGCATAGACATGGAGGAAGAGATTGTCCATTAATTTTCTTTGTAAATCCAAATAAATGGATTCCACAAATTGTCCCCATGTCCAATACCTCTGCAGCCTTTTCCAGTGGGCTGCATTTCACTTGGAACTTAGAATAAGATGGCAGGAAATTGTCACCTAAGTTTTGAAAAAAATAGGTATTCCTGAAATGCCCTGCTATTGCGCAGTGTGGTCTACCTGGACCCAAATCTTTTTAATACATATGTCCTGATTTGCTTTTGTGGACCTTTTTTTTATTATTGCTGTCTCTAAAATGACCACAGATCAAGCTGGACCATAGTCTGTATACCCTACTTGAAATATGGTGAGACATCCTTTGAAGGTTGACCACTTAATTACTGGGCTGTTAACTTCATACTGTAATGTATCTTTCAAAGTATCTGAACAGGATCAAGTGATTCAACTGCCTTTAGTTAGAATTTAAGCACTAGTATTAGTTGTGAGGAAACTACTAGAATAATACGTTGGAATGTCACATCAAAAATCAGTGACAAAGTCAGAATCAAGGCAATATATTAAAAATAAACATTGTTAGTAGGGCAATATTGGAAGAAGGAATCTTTGCCTACTTTGCAAGAGTGGTTTTTTAAAGTACCCTATTTGGCGGAAATGGCAAAGATTTCGGCTTTTTTAAAGGATCAATCGCAAGAGAAGTTTTTTGTGGTTTGGGAAAAATGGATAGATTTTATACAATATAAGTTGGATATAAAAATATTACTTGGTTTATCAATAATTTATATATGAATTTTAATATCTTATAGATTGTATTTTTTTTTTAATTTTTTTTAAAATATATATGTTTTATTATTTTACTTTCTTATACTTCTTTTCTTCTTCCTTTCTCTTTACTCTTCTTCTTTTTAAGTATTCTTTTTTTCTTTTTTTTCTCCTTAATACTTATGTCTTTTTTATATATATATATTATTGTTAATTATTCTATTAGTAGCTTAAGTAACGTATTTAGACTTATTTATGGTTTATATTTTTTCTTTTTTAAGAATTTATGAAAATTTAATTAAGCCTATACTCAGCTCTGGGAAAGTTGAGGGAGGGAGTGGGAGGGTTGGGGTGGGTTGTTTTTTCTTATTTTGTAAAATTTTAAAAAATTTTCAATAAAAAAAAATAAAATAAACCATCTGATCTATTTATAACTAGAGCACTTAAAGAGCCTGATAATTAAGTTAACCTCTACAATAGACAAAATTGAAGGACTTAATCATCTCTAGATAATTTTGAGAGGGCCCTATCCAACTGTTATATTAAAAATAATGCTCCTTGACAATTTTCTTTCATTTGCCAAGAACAGATTGTTTCCTTGCTTCTGGAAGAAGCTGCGCGGTCCTGTAGGATTTCAGTGTGAGAATAAAGCTCTAGTGTCAACATTATTAAGGTAAGTAATCTTAAAATAAATTAAAATATGCCTATTTATAAAATAGGACAAGAGGTTTGCAATGCCACCAACAATAATAAAGCAAGGTCATAGGAAGACAACTGGCTGTTTAAATTTTATTAATTCAGGAGCTACTAAGCAGAGAAATGACAAGTGCTGGCTTTGATGCTCTCTTCAGAAGCAATAAGTCTAGCTTTTTAGAAACGTAGGGCATGTCTATTGCTATTTTAAGACAGACACCTATGACTCCACTAATTTTTATCTTTCTACTTCAAGAAAAATTGTAATGTTAGCACATCACCGACAAATAGTTAAGACGCCTCTTACCTTTTCATCCTAACTGTAGCAGTCTTTTCAAAGAAATTTATCTCCAAGTATAATCAATGGGAAATTAATAGAAGAGAATATATGTAGCTCAGGGTTGAACTATGGGATCCTTGGTGCTCTCTGAGCTTACGGTAGCTATTTGCTTGCAGATGTTTCATTACCCAACTAGCCGGATAATGAAACATCCAAGAAAACAACCAAGTTCAGAGATCACCAAGGACCCATAATGGAAAATTCCACCGTACACCTGGAGACCTGAAAGAGCCAAGGTGGTGCAGCAGTTAGAGTGTAGTACTGCAGGCCACTTTAGCTGACTGTGTTCAGCAGGTCAGCGGTTCAAATCTCCCCGGGTCAAGGTTGACTCAGCCTTCCATCCTTCCGGGGTAGGTAAAATGAGGACCCAGATTGTTGGGGGCAATGTAAATATATATATACATTGCTTACTGGTGTACACTGCTTACAGAGTGCTTGCACTTAAAGCGGTATATAAGTCTCATAAATAAATAAATAAATAAATAAATTTTAGGCTTGCCATCCAGGGGGCACCCCCAAGAAATCCTCTCACAAGAAAACACAACTAGTGTGAGATTTGTTTCTAAGCCTAACTGCAACATCCCAACCAATAGAAGCAGTGCTTACGTCTAACAGATGCACTGGAAGCAAACCTGCAGGCAGGTAGATGCATGCTAGATTCAGATTCATTCACCATTGGAATTCAGGATGCAGTTTGAAAGAATGGGAAAAGGTTCTTGAGTACTGACCCAATCTGCTTTCTTCTCACAATAAGATCTTCTCTTCTTGTACTTTTAACTAACAGAAAGTTCAATGGGACTGGAGCGAATCCCAATTAGCTTCCTCCAAAGAAATCTTTAGAAGAGGAAGGAACCGGGGCATCCACAATTTAAAAGTATGTGGAATAACAATGGATCACAGAATCAAATCCCTCAATATTTCCCCTTTGATTGCTATTTCTGTCACTATCCATTTCTATTTTATTCCACTGAAACCGTATTTTCTTTTCTGTCTTTTCTATAATCCATTTTATTACAATACTTTATAGAATAGAGCCATTCTATCCATCATTTGAAAAAAAAAAGATATAGCTTTATAAAATCTTTATGAAATTATACAAGAAAATTTTAAACCTCATACCAGCATATCAGAGTGTTCTTTTTTTTTTACTGCAATATGTTTAGAATCACTGCATTTTATTAGTTCAATTTCAGGCCAGAAAGATTATAATGCATAGTTATTAGGATATGGTCTTTTCTGCCTATAATCATTGAAGTGAGAGTAAAGTGAATTAATATTATTTATATACAGTCTATAACAATTATCCATGAACAAAATAATTGAAAAGTTTTAGCCTCTACAAAATCTTAGATGTAAGTTTCTGTCACTTTAGATAGTCCATTTCCTGATTTATATTGAAATAATATGTTTAAAAAAGAGAGTGCAACTAAAAGTTATTGATAAAAAAAATCCAAAGTAATATTTGGAATTGGGCAATAGCATCCGCAAAGTGCACAAAGCAAATGAAACAAAACATTCCATTAAAGCAGGAGTGGTCAACCTTGGTTCTTTTATGACTCGTGGACTTCAACTCCCAGAATTCCTGAGCCAGCTAAGAGCCAAGGTTGACTACCCCTGCATTAAAGGATCAGAATATAATGAATTAATTCAGTATGAGAGAAGACAATAAGGAAAACCAGAGACAGGAAAGGAATGGAATCTCTGGTATCTTTGACTTAAACTTTTAACACTTGTTATAACTAATACACCAACACAAGTATTTTTAACAATCGAGAACAATGAACATTTAATGGTACAAAAATTATGCAAGTGTTTCAATTCTAGAGATCCCTAGGTTAAAGGTTAACACAATTGTTTATACTTCATCTAACTGAGATATACGAATTGAAAAAAGAAAGAACTGCAGGGGGAAAGCAGAAGAGTAGACATAATGCAGGAATAATCAGGGTTTCTCTGTCAATGGTCGGAAAGTCCATTTATCATACAATAGTACAGCCACACTTTTTAGGATAATCCTCTGCATACACCTTGTGCTCATTCCCATAGACATAATAGGAATAGGGTTTCCCATGCCATTCATATTCCACTTTGGTGAGAAATACCAGCTCAATGGTTTGCCTCTGCAAAAAGACAAAAGGTATAATTGTCATATTTAAAACAGCCAACTCTTTGAGAAACAGATGGATATAGTTTCCCAACTATTATTTAGGGATGATCAATTTTCACAATTGTAGCTGGTGATTTTCCCTTGGGGGGGGGGTCTCTTTCCCTTCCCAACCTTTGTTCTCACTCTGAGCATCCCCTTTTTACTTTTTTCAGGTGACCATTAGGAAAGGAACTTTTACACTACATTGATCCTCAGCGGCTCAGAGAATTTTTTTAAAGCAAGCTGAAGAGGGTCCATAGGTAAGAGAGGCTCAAATTCCCATATAATTGTTTCTTGCATTACCCTGGGTCAGTCATTCATCCTGTACTCTATGGAAGGTTGTGGGCGTAAAATGAAAGGAGATGCCCCACCTACCATGAGCCTGACACTTTAGAATAGAAGCGCATGCATAGATAATGACACCCAAGTATAAAGTAACCAAACCAACAATGGCCTGCTCCTATAATTTACTTGTTTTCTTAATCTTTATGGCTTCTTTGAACACTTGTTTGTTTATAATTTCAATGTCTAAGACTGTATATAACTGGAATACATATTCCCCTCCATCCATCCATCCACTGATTTGACTTATATCTCTCCTTTTTTGGAGGGAGGTGTCAGGTTAAGGCAGTATCTATAAAGACCTTTTCTTGTAATTTAAGCCTTTTCTGCATGTATGTTATGAATACTCTAGATTTCATTTTGCTTTTTTTCCCACTCAAACATAATGAATGTGTTGTACATTGTTAAGATATATGGGTTAGTTTTTAATCATGTTTTTAAGTAAATTGAGATGTGACTACATGGGAAACAGTACCAAGGTATATTAAAAGGGATGGCCGTCTTGGCACTGAATCTTCCTTTTGACAGAGACATTAATAAAAGCAAAGACCAAGAATCTGGTAGTGCAATCTAGGAATATATGGCTCACTTGCAGTAGAAATATTGATCCTAGACTTATAATTCCAGTAAATAAGCATTTTGGACAATATATTAAGGTTGCAATGTAGGTCAAAACCTCTCTGCTTCTTGTACCCGTTGAGTATTGTCACCATTTTTTCAAATGGTAGAAATGACAAGGTGACAAATACTTTAGCCCTTCACCCAGTCCAGCTCCTCTGCTCACAATCATATCTGATTTATCCTTAAAAAGAATATGCAAAAGCTTCACAGTCCTAGAGCTGTTTTCCATCCCTAATTGATATGAATCTGACATGAAATACAAAAAGACACTGGAAAACAAGAATAGGTTGTAGGAACCAGAAGACTCCCTAATAATATAGGTCTTAAGTTTTGGGGAGTTGAGGCTATTGAGATGTGTTTGAATATTAGTAGCGCAGATTGGTAGTTGGGCTGTTGATTTGATCTCTGAGTTTGGCGATTTGGCTGCAAACATTTTGTCTCCATTCGGGGGAGACATCTGCAGTGCGCTTTGAATTGTGCTTGTCTGTCAGAGCACTGGCAGATGAGCACAATTCAAAGCACACTGAAGATGTCCTCCCGAATGAAGACGAAACGTTTGCAGCCAAATCCCCAAGCTCGGAGATCAAACCAACAGCCAATTGAGGCTATATCAGCTCTTTGGATAATAGGCCAGAAGCTGCATTTTAAAAGGCAGCCAGATAAATTTAAATTATATAATTTAAATAATTAATTTTACTTTAATACATTCATTTAATATGGTTAGTAATTTTTAAATTCTATTTCCTTAAGTTTTAACTTGCATGCAGCTTTTACTGGAGACCTGAGAACCACATATTTGGGGTACAGGTATACCCTTACATCAGCCACAATTTCAGCCACAATTTGCTCAGAGACACAGAAGAACAAATTAACAACACACATGGAATAATTCTATTATGACCTTCTGTAAGAAGGAATAGGTCCATGCCCAGAGATACTCCATTCTTTGAGTGTGGAGGTTCGTTCTCTGAGCTTGTGGTTGGTTTCCGAACGTGACACCCATAAGCTCAGAGAATGAACCTCCACCCTCATCCTACAGCTGAGCTACAGATATTTACCACCATCGCCTACCGCAGTGATGGCAAACCTTTTAGAAACCAAGTGCCCAAACTGCAACCCAAAACCCACTTATTTATTGCCGGGTGCCAGGTGGCCGTGGCCCACTGGATGGGCATGGCTGTGGTCATGGCAGATTGGGTGGATGTGGCCAAGGTGGGCATAATCACCTCAATGTTACTTGTGGGGAGGGATGCCTGTGGGGGCCGGGCAGGGTTGGGGGAGATCCAGGGGGTCTCTGGCAGGTGGAGCGGTAGATAGGAGGCTCGTCCTGCAGGGTCAGGCGAGGCAAGGCGAGGCAGGGCAGGGGTACCATTGTCACAGGGCAAGGTGAGGCAGGGGCCGGGGCGGCTGCTGCCTGACACCATCAGCCCCTGCACACAGAGGCCAGCGAGTGCATGGGTGCTGGGATGCATCCAGCCATGTAGGACCTCAGCGAGTTAGTGGGCGGCTGGTTGAAGAGGGATGGTTGCCATCTCCGAGGCTTGGCAAGCATGCCCCCAGAGAGGCCTCTGAGTGCTGCCTATGGCACGCATGCCACAGGTTCGCCACCACTGGCCTACCGTGTTTTCTCAAAAGGCCTACACCAACAACAAACCCTAGCTTGATTTTTTTTGGGGGGTGGGCCTAATATAAGCCCGATCCCAAAAATAAGCCTTAGTTTTGGGGCGAGGCACACACCTAAAACTCAAGCTAGGGCGGGGGTGGGGATCTGCCCCAGCCGTCCCGCACCCACTTATCAGCCAGGCCTCTCCTTTCCAGCCCACTTCTTCTTCTGAGGCCTCTTCTGAAGCCAGGCCTGCATTTCTCAGTCACAGGGCTTTCTGGAAGGCCTGTGCAGCCAAGAACTGAGCTATGGATTGAATCCATAGCTCAGTACTCGGCTGTTTAGGAGTTCTGGAAAGGCCCGACTACAAAATGCAGGCCCAAAAGCAGCCACAGAACTTTGGCCCCAGAAGAAGTGGACCGGCTGGGTGGGTCTGTTGGTGCCGAAGGTGAGGTAAGGCCTACCCTGAAAATAAGACATGGTGCCTCTTTTGGAGGCAAAAAAAAATAAGACCCGGTCTTATTTTCGGGAAAACATGGTATTTTCCTTTCCTTTATATTCTCTATCAGAAAGGAATATAAATCAGTTAATCCATAGTACTGTGGTGGATCACCACCTTTACAAAAAGCATTTTGCCAATCTCTAATGCTCTCACCTGTCTCAGTATCCGTGCCGTGGATCCAAATTGAGCTTGATGTTGTTCAATAGCATTTCGGGAAGCTTGGTTAATGGCACCGATAGGGAAGCTTATCACTGGACAAACCTAGGAAAACAACATTTTTAGGAGATACAAAACTCTAGAACAATAGAAAGAAGGGATGGGTAATGTTATTGCCCTACACTAACAGAAACTTAACTGAATGATGAAAATAAGAGCTAGATACAGCTCTGAAACAATTTCTGGACTATAGCCAGGCAAGTACAACAAACATTTACAGTCCAGTCTTTTATTTCAAAACTTTAGACTACAAGGCTGCCCTTGAAGACTACTTGAAAGCTAAGGCTAGTCCTGAAAACAGCAGTGCAAGTAGATGTATGTGTGTCTCAATACATCCATGAAACACCACAAATGTGTGAACTTCACTGGTTGCCAGTACATTTCCAGGTGCAATTCAAGGTGCTGGTGGTCATCCATAATATCCTACATAGCCCAGAGCTGAGTATTTGAATATTTGAGGGACTACAATGATTTCAGCCTATCATACAAGATCCAACAGGACTGGCATGATCCAGATCCTATCAATTAAACAGTATCATCTGATGGTATCCAGCAGGCACTCTTCTCTTTTGCTGTCCCTGCTCTAAGAAAGAGTTCCTCTCTGATTTCTTGATTCTGCCAGCCTTTAAGAAAGCCTCAAAGACTTGGTTCTTGATCCAGGTACTGGGCCAGGTGATCCTATAAGCTCAACCTCACATAACTGACCCAGTTTTATGATCCTTTTTTTCAGCCATCATTAAGCAAATGCTGCACTTGTTAAGTGAACATATTGTTCGCTCTGCAGCATTTTTGAAAAAAAAAAAAAGCTTAACTAAATGCCAATTTTTAGCAAAAATATTATAAATTATAAATCATGGTTACATAACTGCGGGACACTGCAAACAGTTGTAAATGGGCCAGTTGCTGACTTCCTAAAATGCGGTCACGTAATGGGGGGTGAGGAACTTTTGCCATCAGAATTTTGGAAACGGGTCATAAGTACTTTTTCGGAGGGGTCCGTATAACTTTGAACAGTTTCTAAGCAACCAGTCATAAATGAGGACTACTTGTATTTATATTGTGCCATTTGTAATTGTTAAAAGTTGCCCTGAGTGTTTGTGCAACATCCACATGCATACATTCACGCATGCATAAGTGCATAAATACATGCATTCAAATTGCTTTTTTCAGTCCTGCCACAAGGTAAGCCCTGCGCTTCTACCGAAAGTATTTCATTACCATATATTGCTCATCCACAAATAGCTTCTTCCCTTTAACTGCTTTGAAGAGTTCAGTAGGAAACCCAGTTCTTTCATCCACCACATATTCAAACACATTATTTTTCCTGTGAAGGCAAACAACACCATTTACAAAGAATACCTCTGGGGAATGCCCTATTTTCACAGCAAAACAGATTCAGAAAAACTCTGTATCAGGAAGAATAATGGTCAATTGCTTGCCGAAGCCTCTAATGTATATCAACAATGAGGCAGGCACATGATTATTTGGTATTATGTCAAAAAGAGATAAAATAAAGTGAAAAACCAACATTGCTTTTAAATGATGGTTAATGGTGGCTCTGAAATACAGGCCAATGCCATAATCTAGTCTTATACTGCCAAGTTAAGTGACAAAAGATTGCAAGCCCAATTTTCAAGATTTAACTATTTAAAACTATTTTTGAAACGGAGATCTTCCACCAAGCATTTGTACAGGCTCCAGAAAATTCCAAATGGTCACATTAAAATTCTTCCTTAGAGGAATGACAGCTTAAATTATGGGAATATTCATCAACAGCCCAAATAACTTCATACATGAAAAACAGGCCTTATGTTTTAATCTAACTTAGATAATGTTCATGGAGTACAATACACATAGCTTGCTGTCACATTGTTCATGGAATACAATACACATAGCTTGCTGTCACATTCAAAACTTGGGTCTTCTTAGAGTAAAAGTTTTAACCTGTACTACGATTACGTATGATACATAGATATCAAAGTCTAAGCTAGCTCACAATTAACCTATTGTTTTTTATTTTAGTAATAGTTTAATGCAGGGCTTTTTTTTTTGTCATACAATGCCCAGAACGGAGTTCCAGCACCTTTTTTGGATGGAACCTTATAGGGTAGGCAAGGCGGGTTATATGATGTGTGTGAGTTCCGGCACCTTTTTTTTTTTTTTTTTTTTTTACAAAAAAAGCACTGGTTTAATGTAATATAACAGTTTTGAAAGTGGTAAAACCTACAACTGTTGTGAAACAATCTTTATTTTTTTTAATCCTAGTAGACATATAAAAATAAAAGTGAAATGTTTCTTCCAATGGAATGGTTTTTCCCTTCTTTTAATTTTACTTCATTTTGCTGTAGAAACATTTCTAAATTGTATCTATAACCTGTAATTCCTATGTATTTCTCTTTTTTTCTTCTCTTGGTAAAATATAAATAAACCAATGAGACTGCATAAATATGGTTTGCAAATTGGATGTCTCTGAAAGTGGATCAAAAAGTTCTTTCAGGACAGGTCTATCAAAGACTATCAGACTTGATGCCTCCATGTTACTTCAGGGCTCGGAACAGTGTGGATCCAAACACCAGTTTAGGCAAGGAAGAGGGACATGGAGAACAGCCTCTGTCTCCTACATGGAAACTCCCAGAGGAATCTTTGGGCCACTGTGAGAAACAAAAAGCTGGAATGAAAATGTTCTTCAGTCTATAGGCTGGCAGAACTTGCCATTCGACTTGCAGCTCAATGTATGTCAGCAACTGTCCCGTTCCTCCACAGTCTAAACAAGCAGTTGTCCCCAAGCCAGAACAGGCATTGCACCTATAAAGGAAATGAGACAAGAAGACATTTTCAGAGAATGGAAATAACATCATGATCCATGCAGCAGTTAAGGATGGAGAAATCTAACAAGAACAAATCTTTGAAGTTCTTAACACCTTGGCTTAAAACCCACTTACAGAAACTTTAGTTTATTTCTTTTAGTGTAGTTTCATCTCATCCTCTTCTATAGTAATTTATTTAACAAGGCCACTAGAGGAAGTTAATTTCTCTTTCCATCTTTCCCTGCCAATTTCAGATATATTTTTTCCTAATTTCTAGATTCTAAGAGGAGCCACTGAATCAAAAAGATTGCTTTTAAAGAGGCAGGAAGACCCCTGTACAGAATTCTTGTGAGGAACACAAATTGTTTTGTATTTAAATTCCCCCCCCCCCAAAAAATGCATCACAAATAAGCAGGAAAAGAATATGCCTGTTCAATTTCACCATATTTTCCTCGGGATACTGTTCTCTCAGATCACCTACAATTAATTTTCTTCATAGAATAAGGTCAAAACGACTCAACAAATGACACCATCCCAAAAGTTGAATAAATTTTCTTAGTAGCTATGGCGAAAGCAGTTTATCAGGTCTCAAAAGGTGATCACATGACCCTGGGACTCTGCAACCGTCATAAATACAAGTCAGTTACCAAGTGTCTGAATTTTGATCATGTGACCATGGGGATGCTGCAAAGGCCATAAGCGTAAAAAACAGTCGTAAGTCACTTTTTTCAGTGCCATTGTAACTCTGAGCACTCACTAAATGAACTGTTGTAAGTCAAGGATTACCTTTAGCTCAAAGTTATCCAGAGAGCTGTGAGTGCAAATTTCAACCAGGATCTCTTAATTGCAGCCTGACAACTAAACCATCATACCGCTTTAGTGACCTTACATCAATTTCCTGGTCAATGCCCTGAATCCTTGAAAAGAGAAATAAGTCTTTGTACTTGAAGTTTCCTGACTATTTTTTTCTCTTCAAAGTACATTTTCAGCACTGAACCAATTTTGTTAAGCACCTGCCAACATTACTATAGGATGGTGATTTGTATTATGCATTTCCTGTACTATTTAATATTATTTATTGTATTTCAAATTTTATAACTTTTGTAAAGTACCCTGAGAATTCCATTTTGACATGGATCAAAAATATAATAACAACAACAATAACAATAATGATGATGATATAATAATATAATAATTTCTTCATCTATTCTAGCAACAAACTTATTGCAATTAATCCCAGCAGCTACATGGAATAAAATGAGTTGATATACAATTTTATTTACGAATCAAGAAGCCTAGAAGTCTCTGGGTTTCACAAGTGAATGATAGACAAGGGAAAAAAATTGCATGTAATAAGATAATACAAAATAAGACAGTTTACTTACTGTCTCCAAAATACAGGAAAAATAAACAGGATTTTTATTTTATTACTTTTAAATGTCTAAAGTATCATTTTGTTTATTTATTTATTTATTTTAAGTTCCTTCTTACTTCTTTTTTCAAATTGCTAGACATTAAAAATAATAGCAATTTCTTCTTTTATAGGTAGAACTATGGGAATTCAAGAACTAAATAAATTCAGCTCGCTTTTTGTTCAGCTTTTCTGCTGGGTAATGGCGCCATCTGCTGGATCTGGTAGCTATTAGAGTAAAACTTTTAGCTAGCAGACAGGAATTTCTAACTGTGATCACTGTTACCAACTGGCAAACTCAGAGATTAGCAGACTTTGGGAGACGGGCGATACTGCATACCATCATAGTATCAAACAGTAATAATGGGAAAAATTAAATCAAATTGAAAACAGTTTAAACTTTGGCCGAAATCTCATGAGTTTCATAAGAGAACTAAGAAATTATGCAACATTAGGCAGGCTATTTCATGTAATTTTACTAATTTAAAAGAAACCTGGAGATGAATGGATACTAAGTACATCACAGACACTACAGCACACATTGGTTTTTGTTAATAATCTAATGCGCTACATATAAAAAGCCTTTTTCTTACACACACACACACACACACACACACACACACAGAAAAATTTAAGAGGTCTCTGATAAAGGCTGGTGTTTCCTTTCTTTTATGTATCTTTCTTTCATGTATTGGGATCCAGAGGTTTATCATCTTTAGTTCTGCATGAGGTTACACTACCTCAGACAGATCCGGTGTGCAATCTGGGGTTTCTTCTAGACCAGGGATGTCAAACTGCTGGCCCACGGGCTGGACGCGTCACGCGGAAGCCATGCCCACCCCATTGCCAGCAATGGCAAAACAATCCTGATATGTTGCGTGACGTCACGTGATGTCACGGGTTTGGCATGTTTATTCTAGACTCACAACTCCTGCTTGAGGAGCAGATGGCAGTCATGGCTAGGAGGACCTCTGTGTAACTTCATGCAGTACGCCAGTTGCGCCATTTCCTGGATCGTGAGACCCTGCATTTAAGACACTCATACCCTGATCATCTCTTATCTGGACAACTGCAATGCGCTCTACATGGGGCTACCCTTTAAGAGTATTCAGAAGCTACAACTGGTTCAGAATACAATGATGCAGACAGTTCTGGAGATGCCTAAGATAGCAACATTGTTACCGTATATTCCGGCGTATAAGACGACTTTTGAGAGCGATGAAACAGCCTCCGAACTCGGGGGTCGTCTTATACGCCGAGTCATAACGTTTATTTATTTATTTATTATTTCCGGCGTATAAGATGACGTTCTAGGCATGAGACTCGGTGTCGATCATCTTATACGCCGGAAATGACGTCATTTCCGGCGTATAAGATGATCGACACCGAGTCGCATGCCTAGAAAGTCATTGTTACCCCGTCTTTGACACACACTCAACAGAGTCGAAAGAAACCACCTCGTCAGGAACGGAGAACATCCAGTTTATTGTAGAGTAACAAACGGAATAAAGTCAGCACTGACAATCCTTGGATCCACAGCCTCTTTTATACAAGTTACTAAAACCCCGCCTAGCCCACACCCACACTACCACCCATGCCCACCACCCTCTTCCGGACCGCCCAACACCCCCTATATGGCCATCCATCCGATTATCCAGACCTTCAGCTGCCGCCTCCCGACGCTTCCCGACGCTTCGACGGCTTCCCGACGCTTCCGCAGCCTAATGGTTTCTATTAGTGAGGACCGCCTCCTCCTAGTGTCCACGTACGAGGATCGCGCAGATTTCGTTGTTTTTGCCATCTGCGCATGCGCTGTGCTGTTCGGGGCACCGTTTGCGCATGTGCGGCTCCAGCAGGACCAGCTGGGCGTCGGAGCGGCTCTTGCGCATGCGCGTCACCCAGCTGCATGTCGGGCCGGCCGGACGCCGTTCCGGAGACCGGATGCCACGCTGCCGCAGGTAAGTCGATCGGACAGCTTCACCACGGCCCGACAGTCATCTTATACGTCGGAAATAACGTTATAAACTACGTTTATTTCCGGCATATAAGATGATCAACACCGAGTCGCATGCCTAGAAAGTCATCTTATACGCCGGAAATGACGTCATTTCCGGCGTATAAGATGATCGACGCCAAGTCGCATGCCTAGAAAGTCATCTTATATGCGACTCGGCGTCGATCGTCTTGCGACCCGGCGTCGAACTCGGGGGTCGTCTTATACGCCGGGTCGCCTAATACGCCGGCATATACGGTACTCAAGCTGCATTGCTTGCAAATTTGCTTCTAGGTCCAAGTCAAAATGTTGGTTATCGCCTTTAAAGTCCTTTATGGTATGGGGCCAGGTTATCTGAAGAAACGTCTTTTCCAATGGGACTGGCCCACCCAACACATTCCAGCAGAAAAGGCCTGCTGTGAACCTTGTCAACCAAGGAATTTCAGTTGGGGGATCTAAAAGAGGTGTCTTTTCTGTCATGCCACCCCTCTTACCACTGGAGGTATAGTTTAATCCAGAGGCCCCCAACGTTTTAGGCACCAGGGACCGGTTCTGGGGGGAGAGGTTTTTTCGCGGACCAGAGGGGGCGTGGTTTTGTGTGCTGCCTGCATCCTATGGATGGGGCTTCACTTGTTTGCCCGGCCCAGTTTCTGGCATGGTGCGGCCCGGTGCCCATCCATGGACGGGGGTTGCGGACCTCTGGTCTAATTGCATGCATCTGGTTTCCAAAGGCCTTAAGACTTGGCCCTGCCAGTTGGCATGGGGACCCATTTGGAAAGTTTTAGGATGGAGATGACAGAGAAAGCACCACCCTTGCTCCATGCAAATTCTTGTAATTTTAATTGTTCATATATATATATATATATATATATATATATATATATATATATATATATATATATATATATATATATATATGGTACAAATAAAATACGAACACCAGGAGAGTATAAATATAAAAATATACTTTACTAAAAGCTGCCAAGCTTTCGTTTGGAAACTCCAAACATCATCAGGGCTAAGGAGCCAGTAAACAATGATGACTTAAATGGGTTTTGCCGGCATCTGCAAATATATATTAATATTTCTATTTTTATTTTTATTGCATGGTAAGCTGCCCAGAGTCGCTAAGGGTAGCAAGAGGAATGGCGTATAAACTTAATAAATAAATAAATCTCCCTATATGTTGCATACATATATTTTTTCATCCGTTTTGTTCTACTTTGGAATCCTATATAGCAAATACTATAAATATACCGATGACATAAGGTTCCAGAATGTCATTTATTTTTCGTCTTTATATATTCCATAAATTCTGGTCCAGATGCTGTCCTTCTCTCTCCCTGTGTCACTGGGGGGAGGGAGGGAGACTAAAAACACCCTTATTTTAAGGATCCCAAAAAACCCATAAGCCTTCATACTGGACAAATCTACATGCAAGGACTTCTGGCTGTAGAAAATTGCATTATACTCATGAAGACCAGCTCTGCATCGATAACCCCAGGGCAACTTTAAAGAACAAGAGGGACTGCTCATCATAGCTCACATGATGGCTTCCATGCTTGTTTATAAGGCCCAAACATACTGTAACTGGAAAAGACACACAATTCAAGCAAGGATATCTTCTTGATTCACTTGAGATATATTCAATTTTCACGCTGATCTGGAAAGTCACCAAATATTTCTTTGAAATGCAGAGCAGAACAAAATAGACTTATTTTTCCCTTTCTGGTTTCTCAGACAGCTGCATATCAAAATGAGGGCTGCTTTTCAAACTTTTCAAAATTCATTTCAATTAGCACAGTATTCCGGTTCTTTCAATAAAAATAACATTAGCATTTCTATTGTATGCTATTTCCCTAAAACGTGTTCTCATTTCTCCAAGGAAATTCAAAATTATGCTTCTTCTTATTTTGCATCTAAAGTCTATTAGGCAGTCTTAGTAAGTTCAAATTAAGAGTGAGATTTGAAACCAGGAAGCTGCTTGTCCACATAATGATGTGACAGACAAATAACCTGTTTTGCATGCATGCCTACTCAGGAGGTCCATGCAAAGACTCATAAGGACTTGTTGCTTTGAATGAGGCCTCTCCAATACAGTTCCACAGAGCAATGCAACCTCTCCTTCTAGACCAGGGGTAGGCAACCTTGGCTCTTTTATGACTTGTGGACTTCAATACCCAGAATTCCTGAACCAGCCATGCTGACTCAGGAATTCTGGGAGTTGAAGTCCACAGTCATAAAAGAGCCATGGTTGCCTACCCCTGTTCTAGACAATATATACCAAATGTCTGCACATGCAGAGAAGACAGCTCTGCTGAAGCAAAGCAGCCAGGTGATGTGGCCCACTTCAGGGCTTTCAACTGGAGCCACCAAGATAAAGTGCTGCTTCAGTGATTGGGGATGAGGCAGCTACACAAAATGAAGTTATATGTTGCCTCACATAGCAATAGTAGTCAGTATGTAGCAACAATCAACCAATGAAACAGTTTGCCTTCAGATATTGCAGGAGCTTCATCACTGGAAGCTTTCAAAAAGAGACTGGACTGCCAACTGTCAGAAATGGTGTAGGGTATCCTGCTTAGGTGGAGGGGAAGGGGCTTGGACTAGATGACCTACAAGGTCCCTTCCAACTCTTTTATTCTAATCTAATCTTGTTTTACATCCACAAAAGAGACCTCAAACAAGATGGATCGACAACATCAGCAAGTATTGCGGGCCCAGTTGGTAAAAGAAAGCTCAAGATCTTATTGATTGGAAACATGCAGAAGAGGCCTCCATCTTGAAATGGATAAATAATGGCTAGAATGATGATGATGTAGCAATAGCACTTAGACTTATATACCGCTCCATAGTGCTTTATAGCACTCTGAGTGGTTTACAAATGTGAGCATATTGGCCCAAACACTCTAGGTTTTCATTTTATCAACCTCAGAAGGATGAAAGGCTGAGTCAATCCTGAGCTGGTCAGGATCGAATTCCTAGCTGTGGGCACAGTCAGCCTGCAATACTGCATTTAAACCACTGCACAACCATGGCTCCATGTAAATGTTATGCCAGTATTTGAACACATCCATGTGTAATGGGCCGAAGAAGTAACTTGAGGAATAGGAGGAAAAGCCGCAACCAAGGCCAGATAAAAGAAATCTGAATCCAGGGCAGAAACGTCATTCAATGAAACATCTTAGACAGGACCATCCCAGTTCTCATAAAGATAAAGGGAGGAAAGGGGGAGGTATATTCAGACTTGTATGATTTTACTGCTGTAACCTTATAATAAAAGTAGAATTAGCATCGTGACTTTGGTTTCCTAGTCTCAGTCTATCTTAAAGGGCTGGAATCATGTAGGACAATCCATTATCAGGTTATTTACAGTGTTATCACCTAGCTGCGATTTACAGAACAGAAGTGAGCACAATCATTTTCTCACATTCAAGCCTAGACTGCAAATAAAAAGGAAGTACACTAACTCACGTACATGGTTGTTCCCGCTCCAGAACAAGTAGAACACCTCTGGTTAGTGAACTGGGATCCTGTTCCATTACACACCCAACATTGTTTCTGTTGATATATAACATCAAATAGAAGAGCATTACATTAATGGATTTTCACCAACAATTTTTTCATTAGTCAAAAGCAGATCTCTGTGCTCGTCTTTGAAAAAAACAGCACTCTATATAGAGTGGCTTTAAGATTGGGTAGGATTGTGAAAGTGTTTAGAAAGATGCCTCATTATAAAATTCCTTTCCTCTAAAAATTCTTCCTTCCATGGAAACTGTCATCACTTTGTAGAGTTCCATTCTCAATGATTGATAGAATAGTAAATAAGAAAACCTGAGCTGCTGGTATAATGAGGAGAAAGATGCCCAACCATCAAAGTCATCGTTCTTTCTGTAAATAAATTCACACTGAAATCTGTGAACATACTGTGCAGCCAGGTACTATTTATAACAGTAGCAACCATTGCTTAAAAGATCCTCTAGGTCAGGGGTGTCAAACTGCCAGCCCATGGGCCAGACGCATCACGTGGAAGCTGTGCCCACCCCATTGCCGGCAATGCAAAACCATCCGAGTACGTTGCGCGACGTCACATGAAGTTGTGAGTTTGATATGTCTGCTCTAGGTCTTCGAGAGGCATGACACTGTAAAAGCAGTGATTGGTTATTTCTTCTAGCTAAAATATGACTATCGCCAACCACAGAAAAAGCTACCAATCCTTATACAGAGTGTATGTTGTGCTGGTCTTTGTAAGATCCAGGCAGTCGACTGAAACATTTTCTCCAAAAGATCTATTAAAGTAATTACCACTAGGTGACAAAAAGTTAAGAGTCTTAACTGCAGAAGAATTGGTCACCTGGATTTGTACAGCTGAGATAAAGCTGCTGTTAAGTCTTCTTGCAGATGGAGTTCAAGATGTGTGAGAAACACATCCAACTGTGGAGTGCTCTTGTGGTTCTCAAAATGGCTGGTTGACCAGTCAACCTGTTACTGAGCATTAGGTAGTCAATAGAGGAGTCTGAGAAACACTTTCCTGATTCGTGTGTCAAATTACAGCAAATCACAGTTCCCATCATCTCAAAGGAAAGGAGATGTAAAATGTGGTTCCTTATTTTGAAGCCATTTCTGTGCCAGGTTTCATTCTAGAACATTGTGTGAGGGGCAAGGGAGGAGGTCACTGGGAATCTCCTGCCATAACACATATGTTACAGAAATATAAGACCCCAGTCCTTTCAATTACAATTTCAGTCAATTTCAGAGGTATGCACTCACCAGGTCAACCAGTATGTGGCTGTGGAAGCTGGGTTTCCAATCTCCCTCAAAACATCACTGTACAAAGGGGACTGCTCAGATGGAGGCAGCTCCAAAAATAGAACTCCTGGGCCAGTTGTAATAAAGCAGATGTTTACCCTAACCAGCTCACCTTGAACTTCCACCATGCACCTCCATGGACTGTCTAAGTGGACAGCTTCTTCCATTTCCTGTGAAAAACACTCCCTCCATGTTGGAATGCCTGGAACAGGCTTCAGTCTGCCTCCCCAGGAGATTATTGGTGAGATGGAGGCTTTGTGGGGAGGACATATCCTCAAATAATGGTAAGTAGGGCTGGATGAATAACCCATCAGATACTCAATAAAACCTCTTTCTGCTAGCAGGCTTTTCAACCATAATATTTTCATTTGTACTTCTCCTAGCTTTCTATTATTTGTATTAACCCAATTTGCAAACTGCTCTGAGGACGTCTACTTTTTTATCTTTTATTTTTTTAAAAAAAACTTTTCTTCAGGGAACTTTCCACATGAAGCAAGCCATATCTCTGACTTAGAAGTACATACCCTCGTGAGGCAATGGCACTGGGTGCAGGGTCGTCTGCCAGAAGAGCCACATATCGGACATCCCTTCAAATAAAAAGAGGTGTTAAAAGGCAGCCTTTCATTTTTACTGGGACTGGCTCAACTTTGACAAGAAATGTAAAATAATTCATTAGCGCCTGAAAGTTATTTTCTTTTTCACTTTGCCTGGGGTGGTGTTTCCAACCTCTACACCAAAGTTGCCTTATTCTTACACTGTGATGGTCCTTCTAAACCTCTTTCACTTCTTTGTCTTCACACATTAACTGATAAATTCTGCAAAATTGTCAACCACCTTGTCCTTTATTTTATTATTTTATTTTATTTTATAGCCATTTATAACTCTGGCCTTATTAACTTCTAAACAGCATTGTCCTTCTTCAATATGCTGGCCATGCTCCATACTTTCCTCTTGAAAATCCTTTCCACAACAACAAAATAAAATAAAAATAAAAATCAGAGCTGGTAATAATTGCTTCATGATTAAAGAAAGCACTCTGAATTAATGATTCCTATAACTACAGCCAGAGTCCCCTGTTTTTGGGCAAAAGGCCTGCACCAGCAATAAAAGGAATGGTGTACTAAATTTAGTTTTTCATAATCATGTTTGAAATGTATATATAATTATTAACTTGAATGAATCTTGTAACAACCACTCCCAATTTCCATTTTTTTAGGATTTTTCAACTGTGATTTTCATTTTTCTTTGAATAGCAAAAAAAAATTCCAAATAATAAGAATCCTATAAATAAAATATTACCCATTTATATACGCAAAAGAATAGACTTGCTTTCCCAGAAAATATTTTCTTCAAAAACCAATCCCAATTGGTTTAATTGCTTAAGTCAGTGGTGGTGAACCTATGGCACGCATGCCAGAGGCGGCACTCGGAGCCCTCTCAGTGGGCACGCGCGCCATGCCCCAGAGATGGCAACCGTCTTCTTCAACCAGCCACCCACTAACTTGCCGAGGTCTCACGTGGCCAGATGCATCCCAGCACCCATGCGCTTGCTGGCCTTTGTGTGCGGGGACCAATGGTGTCAGGCAGCAGCCCCCTGGGCCCTGCCTCGCCTTGCCCTGCGACATGGCACCTCCGCCCTGCCTCGCCTCACCCGCAGAACCAGCCTCCTGCCTACCGCCCCACCCGCCAGAGACCTCTGGATTTCCCCCAACCCTGACCGGCCCCCACAGGCATCCCTTTCCAGGAGCAACATTGAGTTGGCCATGCCCACCCTGGCCATGCCCACCCATCTGCCATGACCACTGTAGCCATGCCCACCTGGAGGCCACGCCCACCCAGCACACAACAATACATAAGTGGGTTTTGGGTTGAAGTTTGGTCATTCAGTCTCTAAAAGGTTCGCCATCACTGGCTTAAGTGATCACTGATCCATTTTTCTGCTCCATATCCTGTCCGAATGAGGATCCGTCTAACTACTTATCACAATCTAACAGTCAGGAGAAAACAAAACAGTTTGTACATGGTGTTTAAGCCTCAAACATGTCTACCTCTGCCTATTAGCATCTCCAATGAACAGCATGTGTATGTGTACTACATCTTTCTGGGTCAGGCTTTGTTTAACATGAAACATGTCTGAATGCAGAACTTGGAAGACTTTAACCACCTGCCTCTTTTCTAAGCTAGAAAGAAAATGGGCTGGCCATTTAGGCAAAATGACTATTAAAGCATCCTCAGCACTCCCAAAACAGGCTCCTCATAGGAAAGGTGGACATGATTGCTTAGAAATGCTTCAATTACTTTCTTCAGTCAACCCCAAAGAAATCTCCATTAATGTTCCATAGTGACAGAACTGTGAATTAGAGTGCAAAGTCGGTGATTGTTATTGACCTTCTTTCAAGAAAGCAGCAGGAGCTTGAGGATTAAGGCTGCAATTCTGTGCACATATACACCTCCCAAACCAAGCTCTTACCTAATACAATGCAGTTTAGATTGTCTAAATGAATAAATAATGTAAAGCAAAGTACAGAATTGTACTGAAGAGAAAGAAAGAAAGAAAGAAAGAAAGAAAGAAAGAAAGAAAGAAAGAAAGAAAGAAAGAAAGAAAGAAAGAAAGAAAGAAAGGAGGAAGGGAGAGAGAGAGGGAGGTCCTGGCAACTAAAATGTCCCATTTTTGCTTTCTGTACCTTTATGGATGATGTGTGAGGCACTTTAACTCTTACGATGTTGTCTTTGAATATCTCAGGAACTTCTACTCTCATGTCCCAGGGAGAAGGAGCTCCACCATACATAGCAGAATCGACAGGTTCTCCTGATCGAAGCAACGATGATTGGACAATGTCATAACATTCTATCTTGCGCATGAATATTTCTGCAGCATAGCTTGAGGCTCATATATTTAATTTCAATAGAAGGGAACATATGTAACTCAGGGATGAACTGTGGAATCCTTAGTGCTCACTGAGCTTGATTGTTCACTTCCACACATTTCATTACCTAACTAGGTAACCAGATAACTGCATTCCTAACCCGGATACTCTGCCTTTGTGGACTTCATCTCCCCAAATTATCATGTTGGTTAGAGAATTCTGAGAGTTGAAATTCTCATCTTTTTTTACTGTGTTTATTTTCTTAAAATAGTTCCCTAGTGCTGAAAGGGAAGATATAAAATAGTAATAATAGCAAAAAGAAGTGCATTTTTTTTCAGAAAGCAGATAAAGCCTGAATGTCGTGCAGTTCATATATTTCATCCTACCTATATAAATGAGTTAATATTTAAATATTTTTTAAAAAGTTCTCCCTTCCAAGGAACTCAACAAATTATACAGTTCATTATACTAGTGGAATTCTTAAACAGCACTATTGCTTCATAAATCACAAAATGTATCAGTGTCCAAATTAATATATTTTTGTAGTGATGTAAATAGATCATGAATTTTCTAAGCTCACATTAATCCTGCACTGGTACTGTAAAGCTACATCCATTATCCTTTCTCTTGGCAGAAGTTAACTACTAAAGTCTGAAAGTGAGGACAAGTATACTAGCTTCACCCGGCATTTTGTTATCCTCATATACTCCTCAAATTGAGGTAAGAGACTCTTTTATATCCATGTTTTTTTCCAGTGTACTGGATCAAGCATAGAATCCTGGAATACAGAACACTCTACGGATAGAGAAATTATTCTCACACACTTATAGGATGAAGCATATCTTTATTTCCCACTTTGCTACTAAAAAAAATGAATGTATAAATAGGTCTGAATGTTAGAACAAAATTGAATGTGGCATGAGACAATGGAAATTGATGATGAGCAAACAAGACATCTCCAGTATGAAATTTGAATCCCATATGAAGCTTAATACAATCCGATGCCATCTATATGACTTCCACAAATACCTCCAGAAAGAATACAGATTTGAAGACAAATCTACAACATATTGGGGCAGCAAAATCAAAGTCCTACCATAGCCTAGCAACACTTACCTCTATATGGTTGGGTTTTCCATAATGAAGACCTTGATTCAGTGAAAGTCTCCAAGTAATACTAAAAAGAAATCAGTAAATGTAAAAAAACTACATTTAGTCTCAAAAAGTAGCAGATTAACAGAAATCTCCAAGAAATATTGCCAAAGGCAGCCATGGCATGCAAAAAAGATCAATATCTTTATATATAATATATAAATGTAAAACTGCTAATTTAAAATTCTAAGTTAAGACTGCTTTAACTAAAGTTTTATTCCACTTAGTCCACATAACTACGATATTGGAAGCTACAGATGTTGGCTTCTTGGAACTTTGTGAGCTCATAGACATTTCATTACAAGCTAGGTAGTACCATCAGTGTAAAGGAGGGAAGGGTTTGCTGTTTGATTATACACAGGAGTTTGCCCTGGCGGCTACTTTTGTTTCTTCCGTATTTTCCTGGTGGGTTTCGTCTTTATCTGGACTGGCTGCTGGAGGGGTTGTGTTCTAGGCTGTTTCCTTCCTGGATTTTTGACTATATCTTTAACATAGTAGGTAAAGGGAGTTTATCTCAATGTGTCTAATGGTGGTTGATTTTTCTGAATGCCAAACTTCTAATAATTCCCAAGCATTTTAGCACAAGAGAGTATTAATTATGTCCCTATATCTGCCAACAAGGAAGGACTGTCTAGAATTATGGTGTGTTGTTATTGTTGTTACTATTACAATTTAGGGTGAATGTGGCCCATAGCCACTAACTCCCATTCAACCCACCAAACAGAATCCCGAAAATGAAAATTATGTTCTGTATTATAAAGTCATAAATGCAAATGCATCCAAAGTTGAACTAAAGGTTGCAAAAGCCAGAAAGTCAACTGATTTTTATGAAGTTTTTGTTCCTCTTCCCTTCCTGTCTTAAACATATACAACTCTGTACATAAGACATTGAGCAACAGATGATTTTCTCAGTCCAACTGGGCATCACATGTTATTTGCTTGTGCTCCCACAGGTAGAATTACAGTGAATTATCAAGTTGCCAGTTTCTATTCTCTTTTCAATCACTTATTTCCTAGTTGGAAGAGTCTATTTTCATCACTGATATTTTATTGAAAAAAAGTAAATGGGTAAGGAAAGGAGCAGGGAGAAAAAAAGAAAGAAAGAAAAAAGCAGCAAGCCACAGAGGAAAAACAAATCATATCTGAACAGAAGTGACAGTCTCTTTAACATTTTCTCCATTCCTCCAGTCATCACTACAGTAAGTATTATTTTCCAGTGGTATAGATAGGTGTCCATTTCTCTCCATGATGCCAAAATGACAAAAATGTGCAATGTGACAGTGTTTGCACTATGTTTTGTCACTCGCCTATGTTTTATCACACCTTGGATTCAGATCAGAAGATTGAAATTTAATTATGATCTTGTCTAAGACCACTAAACGAATTTGTAGAAAATGGAACTTCCCATCAATTGGGTGAATATACACAAATATTGTAATCCTCCTTGGACATCAATATGTCATGCTGTCCTCAATAAGGTGGATAGTAACTGGAGAAAGAATCTACTGAATTATAGTTCCTGTTTTTATTATTCTCCTGTTGGATTCACTTCAGATAGACTACTGAAAACCTGTGGCACCTTGAAATAGAGAAACCTATATACTTTTCAAATTTTCCACATGTCCTTTCTGAAGCCATTTATCCTGAAATTGCATATTGTTTTGTATGAAGTGGTTTATTTTACTTTTAAATATTCACTGTGAATTACATTATGTTCTTTACAAAAGCCAGAAAACTGCAAATCTTTCTGAACATATTCAGATCACTAGACGCAAGAAAACTGTGTGTAATAAAATCAAGACCATCAGGGGGGCTTTTTGGTTCAGTCTCATAAATAGAGGAAACAAGTGATTGGCACTGGCTCTTCAAAGATTTCCCTGCATATATTAGAAAATATTCCAATCTTGTTGGAAAAAGTTGGGGTTGAAGTTATGAGTTTATATATATGCGCAAAGCATTCTTCTACCCCGTTACTAAATATCATCCATCTCAGTTTAATTTCCCAATAACTATGCCTCTCCTGAGTTTACTCATGTGGAGAAAGAATTTGGTCGCTGACAAAGTTATGTGATTTCCACAAATAATTTTGATCGATAATCTCATATCATCTGAAAATAAATCTGAATTCAGTTAAGAACGATTTTGGAATAGACACACCCAAATATAAAATTGCAGCATCCGTTCCTTTAAAGCAGGGCTTTTCAACCAGTGGTACGTACCACTTGTGGTATATTAATGAATGGCAGGTGGTACGCAGCCCTGACTAACCAAGTGTAGTGGGGGAGGGAAAGAGCCAGCACAGGCAAAGACTTACAGTGAGAGAGTCCTCTGGAGCTGCAAAGGCCCCAGGCTCACTTCTGGCTCACCTTCCCCCATGAGAGAGGAGGAGGAGGGGGCGGAGACAGGACAGCTCATATAAAAGGAGGCAGTTTGGGCAGGAGAGGGAGAGAGAGAAAAAGCAGCAGCCTTGGGAGAAGGTAAAGTCAGCTGCACCAAAGGGGGAGGGGGAGGGGGAGGGTGGGGGGGAGAGGAGATCAAAGTCAGCTGCACCAAAGGGGGAGGGGGAGGGTAGGGGGAGAGGAGATCAAGCAGGCTGGCCATGAGCTGATCTACAACTGCTGTGGCAACCACCTGTGCTGGCAGCAGCAAACAGGCAAGAAATGCAGCGGGGGAGGGGTCACCCTCCAAGAGGAATGAAAAAAGGCAGCAATAGCTGGAGGTGAGGCACAGAGGAGGGAAGGAGATGGAGAGTGGAAGGATTCTTATGTACTTTTGTGACTTTGAAGTTCTGCGATTTGTGCAATGAGGGCTTTGTGTTCTTAAGGAGTGTTTGGCAATTTCTATTTGGCTGATGGCTGATGTCTCGTGTTAGCTTCTATTGCTCTGCTGTTGTTAGATGTAAGTTTTGCTGCAAGAGATTTTCAAGTATTTTTCTCCTTAATGGATTTTGCCTGTAGCATTCCTTTACTTATGAATGGAGCCATTTGGGGAGGCTGTCTTAGCCAGTACTTATATATTTTTTTCTTCCTTAAATGCCGGCTGTACTCCTTACTTTCCTTTCTAGCCAGTAGCTAATTCTTAAAGGGGAATGTGCCTTTTTAAGCTAGTTCACTCAGCAGCTTGTCTTTTCTGTCTCTGGAGACCTTTCCTTGTTTGATCAATATATGGAAGAGGGAAAATATGGGGGGGATTTTAAATTCTTCCTTCAGAAGGAGATGGGAATGAGAAAAAGGGAGGCAGGGAAGGGAGGGAGGAAAGGAAGTCCCGCCTTAGCACTTGGCCACCAGTAGCTCTGCCACTGACTTTGCTTGTCAAAAGGTTGCAGAAGGGGATCACATGACCCTGGAATACTGTGACTATTATAAATATGAATCAGTTGCCCAGCATCCAAATATAAATCACATGACCCTGGGCATGCTGCAATGGTCATAAGTGTGAAAAATGGTCATAAGTCATTTCAGTGCAATTGCAACTTTGAACAGATTTTTTTTTTTTTTTTTGGTCATCAAATTTTTGACAGCTTGCTAGGTGGTACTCGAATATTGCCATATCCTAAAAGTAGTACAATTGGTAGAAAGATTGAAAAGCCCTGCTTTAAAGCATGCTACACAATATATTCCTGAAAGCTAGCAAAGAATTTACTGTTTAATTATTTAAACGTGTGACCCACATTTCTTACCAAGGTCTTTATGCATCATATAGCCTAAATACAATATTTATTTATTTATTTATTTATTTTATTTATTTATTTCTAAAATTTATATGCTGTCCAATCCCAAGGGACTCAGGGCGGCATACAAAATTAAAACAATAATCTGACAATAAAACAATAAAATAAATACATTCATACAGCGTGTCCAATCATATCCCCTCCCCCCGGGGACATCAGCCCCAGGCCTGCCGGAACAGGAGAGTTTTAATGGCTTTCTTAAAGGCTGGCAGGGTGGGAGTAGTTCGAACCTCGGGGAGAAGTTGATTCCACCAGGTCGGAGCCACCACAGAAAAGGCCCTTCCCCGAGGGCCCGCCAGCCGACATTGTCTGGCCGACGGGATCTGAAGGAGGCCCAATCTATGGGACCTCACCAGTCTCTGGGAACTGTGCGGCAGTATGCGGTCCTGTAGGTAACCTGGCCCTATGCCATGAAGGGCTTTAAAGGTGATAACCAACACCTTGAATTGCGTCTGGAGACCCACAGGAAGCCAGTGCAGCTCGCGGAGGATAGGTGACACGTGGGCGTACCTTGGCGCGTCCACAATCGCTCTCGCAGCTGCATTCTGAACCAACTGCAGCCTCCAAACGCCCTTCAAGGGTAGCCCCATGTAGAGTGCGTTACAGTAATCCAGTCTTGAGGTGACAAGGGCATGAGTAACCGTGAGTAAAGCCTCCCGGTCCAAATAAGGCCGCAACTGGTGCACCAGGCGAACCTGGGCAAAGGTCCCCGTGGCCATAGCCAATAGATGTTGTTCCAAATTTAGTTGTGAGTCCAGGAGGACACCCAAGTTGCGTGCCTGCACTGAGGGAGGTAAATTTGCCCCCCCCAGGACTAATGATGGACCATCCAGTTGACCTTTGGGAGGCAAGACCCAGAGCCACTCGGTCTTGTCAGGGTTGAGTCTAAGCCTGTTCACCCCTATCCAGACCCTCACATCTTCCAGGCACCGGCACATCACATCGACTGCTTCACTGAAAGGACACGGGGTGGAGATATATAATTGGGTATCATCCGTGTACTGATGATACCTCACCCCATGTCGCCGAATGATCTCACCCAGCAGTTTCATGTAGATGTTAAAAAGGAGGGGGGACAGGACCGAGCCCTGAGACACCCCATGATCGAGGCGCCTAGGGGTCGATCTCTGTCTGCCCACCAACACCGACTGCGACCTGTCAGAGAGGTAGTAGGAGAATCACCGTAATACGGTGCCGCCCACCCCCACCTCTCCGAGACGACACAGAAGGATACCATGGTCGATGGTATCGAAAGCCGCTGAGAGGTCAAGAAGCACCAAGATAGAGGAATGACCCCTATCCCGGGCTCGCCAGAGGTCATCGGTCAGTGCGACCAAAGCAGTCTCAGTGCTGTAGCCGGGCCTGAAACTAGATTGAAAAGGGTCCAGATAATTAGTTTCATCCAAGGATCGCAAGAGTTGGGACGCCACCACCTTCTCTACAACCTTCCCCACAAAGGGGAGGTTGGAGATAGGACGAAAGTAGTAATATAGGTAGTCCTTGACTTACAATAACAAAATTTCTGTTGCTAAGCAAGACCGTTCTTAAGTAGGTTTTGCCCATGTTTACCACCTTTCTTGCCACAGGTATTAAGTGAATCACTGCAATTGTTAAGTTAATCGTGTGGTGATTCAGTGAATCTGGCTTTGCCATTGACTTTGCTTTTCAGAAGGTCACAAAAAGTGATCCCAGGACATGCAACCGTCATGAAGACATGCCGGTTGCTAAAGGTCCAAATTTTGATCGTGTGATGCTGCAACAGTATCATAAATGTGAAAAATGGCCATAATTCACTTTTTTCAGTGCTGCTGTAACTTCAAACAGTCACTAAACACATAGTTGTAAGCCGAGGGCCACCTGTGCATGACGCATATATAGCTTGTTGCATGCACACACATTCTAACGCCGTATTCTGCTTACTCTGTAAGTGTTCAGTGCTAGGAGATCCTGAAACACCAAGTCTCTCGCTGGAGCTTTGCCGTAGCAGCACTTGCTTGCAACATACTGGATAAAAGCTTCTTTGGCTTCATCTTCTGAAATAGCAGGAATGCTATATGGCAAGCAAAAGCAATGGAGACAGTAAACATAAATCACAGCACAAGCTTCAAATATTCCTCTAGGACAGGAACATGGTATATCTTTTGAGTTGCTGGGTATGTTCAGAATTTTTAGAGCATTTATGAATTCTATCACAAAATGAAAAGCCCCGGTGTGCACACTCGGTTGCAGAGTCTCATTTATCAGGTGACAAAATGAAAGAGGGTGCTACGGACTTAGGATTCTCATCGCCTCTCTCAGTGATTTTGCGTTTTAGTATTTATTTTTTCTTCTTCTTCTTCTGGCCAAATGGGCATATTTCCTCCAAAAGCAACTAACTGTAGCCACCCACCATTTTTATACATTCAAAGAAAGCTTTGGGGGAAGAAAGATGATGCTGGAAAGAAGTAAATGTAAGCCATGTGGCTACAGCAGGGGTCCCCAACCCTCTGTCCGTGGACCAGTATCGGGCTGCGGCATGACAGCAACCGGTCTGCACAAACAACCAAAGCTCCATCCACGAGATGCAGGCAGCACACAAAACCATGCATTCTCAGGTCCGCGGAAAGACCTCTCTCCACGGAACCAGTCCCTGGTGCCCCAAAGGTTGGGGACCTCTAGGCTACAGGATGCTGAGAAAACCATGCTTTATAAGAAACCTAACCTTCCCTCAATAGAAGAAGCTCTTATTTCCTGCCTGATCTATTTCACTTTACAGGTAGTCCTCGACTTACAACTTACAACTTTTCATTTAGTTTGAAGTTACAATGGCACTGGAAAAAAAGTGGTTTATGAATGTTTTTCACACATACGACTATTGCAGCATCCCACATGATCAAACCTGGGGCCGCTTGGCAATTGGCTCATATTTATGATGGTTGCAAGGTCCCAAGATCATGTGATCAACTTTTGCAACCATCTGGGGGAAGCCAGATTCACTTCACAACCATATTACGAACTTAAGAGCTGCAGTGATTCACTTAACAACTGTGCCAAGAAAGGTCGTAAAATGGGGCAAAACTCACTTAACAACTGTCTTGCTTAGCAAGAGAAATTTTGGGCTCAATTGTGGTCGTAAGTCAAGGACTACCTATGTATATATTGCACTTTCATTTTCTCTTCCTCCAGATAGGCAGCAGATAACCACTTAGTTTGAGGCAAAGGAAAAATAAAAAATGGATGATTAGAAGATTTAAAAGAACAGTATCCATCTTACTTCCAGTTTGTTTGAGCTGGCATTGGCTTTCTTTCCTGATAAGGAAGCAAATTGGATGGAGGAGGGAAATACTTCCCTGCTGCAAAAGAAAGGAGTAAAGATGAGAAAAGAGGTTGCTGGTTAAAAAGTGGCCTAAGCTCTGTGGTCAAAGAAGCAGTGAGAATGGCTTATCCCATTGTTAAGTCATCCTAAATCAAGTTTCTTATTCTCCAGTAAGTTTCCTGCTATGCTCAGGATGCATTTGTTTACAGTATAATCTGTAATCTGTTTCCTTACAGACTGTTACCCAGTACAAGCAACAGGTGATAGTCAAGCAGCTGGCCAATGGATCATTTGGATAGAGATAACAGATCTCTATTTTTTTTTTCCTTCTGTTTGCAAGGGGAAATCTATGCCTTTCTGCTCTGTTGTAAGTCCCACAGTATTCAGTGGCTCTCCCCATTAGGTCAATATATTTGAGATGTTAAGTCCCATCTCTTGTTGCCCTCCATGTTGGGGATGAAAATCTTCAAGGGAATACTTCTAGGTCCATGGAAATGGTGTGTATGATTGATCTGAGAACATTCTCACTCTCTGGAGAACGTTCATAACCTTTTCATGGTAGACGGGAGACTTTCTCTCCAGTTGTGTTTTTAATTTATTTATTAAAAGTATATGCCACCAATCTTGCTACCCAGAGTGACTGCAGGTGGTAAGATGAGCAAACTTGTCCATGTTTCCCTCAAAGCAATGGGAGCAACCTATTCTCTCTCTGCTCCAGATAGTCACTATCATTATTTGCAATGGAATGTTTCCACATCCTCCTCATTCACTCTTTTTCTACATCTCCATCTGCTGCTATTGCCACACTCCACAAATGTAATTTGATGTATTGTTTGCAGATCAAACAACAAGAGTCATGGTGGCACAAGTGGTTAGAATGCAGTATTGCCGGCTAACTCTGCTGACTGCCAACAGTTCAATTCTCACCAGGCTCAAGGTTCACTCAGCCTTCCATCCTTCTAAGGTCAATAAAATGAGGACCCAGATTGTTGGCGGCAATAGGATGTAAAGCACTGTGAAGCAGTATATAAGTCTAAGTGCTATTGCTATTGCAACATAATTATTGGGGGGAAATCTTCCTTTCAGAAAAATATGGTAATTCCCCCAAAAGTAACAAATTTAATTGTCCCAAAATCAACACAAGAAACCTAGGACACTTTAACATCCAATATATAACTGGAGATATCATCATTTGCATCACATCTACATCAGACGTACCATCTCCAATCGTAGTGCCTTCATAGCCAGACACATTGTTTACATCAAGGGCAGGAGGAGCAGAAGCTACTTCAGCTGTCATAACAGGAGGGGTGATCCCTATAACATGCAACAGAGAAACATTAATACTGTCAGCATACAAACATTTAACCATATGAAACACAGCATCTAATATATTCTCTTTCTTTCAAAAGCCATATGGTACATAACTGAAAGTAAAGTCTAAAATGTATTTCTCCCCAAAAGGATGGTCACTTGATACAACCATTAATTTGTGCATCTTAATACGGACCTTGTTTTCAGAAAACTTTAAGACAGAGGTAGGCAGGTCACCCTGCTTACAACTGGAATGTTAAATCTATTTTCTCCCATTCTTTATAGGATAATAAAAGTATATACTGGGAATGTAGAAGAACAGGGGATGATAAGGAATCTATTTACCTTAGAAGTCAACAGTAGGTTTTTATATAGCAATAAAACTAACTACTGTAATTTATTATCGTAAGACCAAAAGGATGGCAGGAGGGCAACTTAACTCCAGAACCTTAACATTAAAATAAAATGTTTCTCTTAAGTCCATTAAATGACCTAACTGGGGGCCCAGTGCGGCTTACTCTAGTAATTAGAGGCTACAAGCTTTGTGAACAGCATAGAACCTGGAAGATTATAATAACTGGCAACCTTGTATAGAACTGCTGTCTCTGTGATTCTTCTCACCTCATACATAAACAACATCAAACTGCCATGCAAGTAGGAAATCTTCATGCCACCAGCAAGACCCACTTTCCTTACTATATAACTACTAAAGCAGTGGTTCTCAACCTGTGGGTCGGGACCCCATTTGGGATCGAACGACCATTTCACAGGGGTCGCCAAACAACGCAGTCTGCCATTTTTTTCCCCTTTTCCTTAGCTGTGCTACTCCCTTTTATTCTATTGGCTTTCAAAAGCCAATAGGAATTGTCCAGGCTGTCTCTGCCCTGCTGAGTCCGCCAAAAGTCCCATTCTGCAAACGGTGCTGCATCAGTTGATTAGTCCTCGTCTTACGACCAGTTGAGTAGTCCTCGACTTACGACCGGTTGGGGGTCGCGGCATTAAAAAAGTTGAGAACCACTGATCTAAAGGAAGTTTTGAAAGGTGCATCAGATGTCCTCTGGTGGTGCTTATTTACTCAAGGATAAAGATAATAAACCCATTCAAGCTTTCCTGCATTTAGAACACAAGAAGAGTCCATCATACTGTTACCATGATTAGAAGGGGCCATTTGCAGGGTATGCCTCTGCTAAGTTAATGTCTATGTGAAGTGATCCCTCTTCCCCAGACAAGCAGATGTCCCCTCTTTCCAATAACATATCCTCTACATCCTTATCTTTTTTTAATAAATATTTTATTAATTTTCTAGTTTTACAGTCAAATACTTAATAGACAATGTGTTGTCTATGTCCATTAGTAATTCAGTTGTATATATTAACTTCTTCAGTCTAGATCCAATATTACACCATCAAATGTTTCCTCTCTTCCTCCGGTAGTACCTGTTTTCCCACACTAGGCAAATACAATTCTTATTGTTATTAATAAATATACAATTGAATATTAACATCTTCGTTACTTTTTTCTCATAATATCAATAATGTCAGTTTTAGATAACTTTTCTAACCAAAACATATCTTAATTGCATTTGCACTTAATATCCATATGTTCAATCAGTATCCTGTTTTTGCTTTTTAAAAAAAAAATAATTTCCCCTCAATGTTCAAAATGTCTCTAGTGTTTGTAATTTCAAACTAAGTTATATTTGGGTAACCAAAAGCTTCCCTTATTCAAACTTCTTAGCATTTTCCTGTTTCCCTTTTCATACCAAAATCTAATGTCCTAATTACAAATCTTATCTTTCTAGTTATGATAATACTTCTATTCCTAGCAATTATCTATTCTCCACCATCTTCAAACATCTAGTGGATCAAAACTTCTATTTTCTTCAATCTTACTCTAGTTTTGTATATTAATTCCAAATTAATCTTGTATTTTTTTCTGTTTCTCCCAAGTAATTAGTTCGCCGCTTTTCTTTTCCTGAAGGAATGGGATGGAAATTCCCCTTCCCTCTCTCATCGGGGAGGGTGCTTTGGGCAATTTTTTCAGGAAGAAGTCTGGTTTGGAGGGCTTCCTCGGAACAAACAGAAGGGCCCCCGCCCTCTGGCAAACAACGAGGGTCCCCTCCTTGCTTGTTGCCTCTATAAGGTGACAGGGCCCTGTCTTCCTGCACCCATTCTGCCGTGATGTCAAACCAGAAGCCATCTACATCCTTATCTTGATGACTATAAACAAATTATTAATCATCCAACATTTCTTACAATTTGCTGTAAATTATGTAAGCTTTAGGTGTAGTGGTGAAGGCATCAGGCTAGAAAACATGAGACCGTGAATTCTAGTTCCACCTTAGGCCCAAAGCCAGTTGGATGACTTTGGGCCAGTGAACTCTCTCTCAGCCCTAGGAAGAAGGCAATGGCAAACCACTTCTAAAAAACCTTGCCCAGAAAACAGCAGGGACTTGTCCAGGGGATTGTCAGGAATAAACATTGACTGCAAGAAATGCTTGCATGCATGCATAAATAAATCATCAATGTTAACATTATGAATACACATACATAATTCCTGCTTTAAAAGAATTTAGACTCAGATCAGGGGGCTTAGATGACTATCCACACACCATCCTAAACATCAACCAGATGCAACCAGGTTACAGAGTCAACTGGCCTTTGCTTATCCATTAGTTTAAGTCTCCTCAGGCAGCAATAAGGATCTTTCCCAGCTGGCAAGCAATAGCAATAGCACTTAGGCTTTACAGCCCTCTCTAAGCAGTTCACAGTGTCACCATATTGCCCCCAATAATCTGGATCCTCATTTTACCAACCTCGGAAGGATGGAAGGCTGAGTCAACCTGGAGCCGGCGAGAATTGAACCTGTGCAGAATGAGCCTGCAATACTGCATTCTAACCACTGCGCTACCGTAGCGCTTTCCCTGATTCTCCATTTTCATTTTTTTGTACTTCATATTTTCTAGCGAAGGGATTCCTAAACTGTGTTCCACAGAACCTTAGGGTTCCCCAAGAACTTGATGGGATTCTGTGACAAAAGGCAAAATACAAAAAAAAAAAAAAAAAAAAAGTTCATTTGAGCAAGCTAGAAGCATCCATAGCAAATGGAAGGAGTGTGTGCGGGAAGAGGGGTTCCTACTGTGAAAAAAAAGTACTACAGTTGCCATTTTGTGGATTGAAGTTCTGGGGTTTTAAAAAATAAAGCAGGTTCTGTGGCCTGAAAAAGACAGAGGAATAGTCAGACATTTTCACTGATGCTTACTAGGAAGGAAAGGATAATCATAGTTGTGTTGCCTCTTGTAACACAGACATGGCTTTCTATGTTTAGTTTGGGAGGGGAGTTGTTGTTGTTGTTTTAATTTGGGTGTTTTCGAGTCAGTCTTGACTCCTGGGGACTTCCCAAACTGGTCTCTGCAGTTTTCTTGGTAACATTTTTGGAAGTGATTTGGAAGTGATTTGCCATCGCCTACTTCCTCTGGGACTGAGCGACTGTGATGGGTCAAAATCACCCAGCTGGCTTCCACATCTAGGGAAGGATTAGAATTTAACAGTCTCCTGGGTTCCTTAAACTACTAACATCAAAGTGACTCTCTTCCATGACCTTTAGCTAGTTTAAAGCATTCCCCAAATGGTTTCAATGTAATTAAAAGTAGCTTGTATATATGACTGAAACAAGTTTATTATATGCACAAAGATGGAAGAGCAGATGGAAGATGGATCATTAATATGTCAGAACTAGCGGAAATGGCAAAATTAACCTCTCTGGTCAGGCAGAAAACAAGCTTTTTTTTTTTTTTTTTTTTTTTTAAAGAGAGAGACTGGAAACCTTTTATAGAATTTTCACTAAAAGAAGAAAGTGAGATGATGATTTATGGATTTAATGATTGAAACAGATGAGAATTCAATAGAGGGTTGAAGGGATTTCTACAAGAATTAAGGAGGCTAGAGGGTAGATTTGTTAATAGCTGTCAAAGAAAACATTGGAAGTCATTATATTTCATGACGTTAGGGTTTTTTTTCCCTTCCCTTGCACTTCTTTCCTCTTTTTTCTTTTCCTTTAGATTTGCTTTATACTCTATGTAAAATCCTCAATAAATATAAACAATATTTTTTTAAAAAACACCTCAATGTGATCTAAGTAACATTCATGGTTAATCAGTGTCCATCCAGTGTCCACTCAGGACCAAAGTGAACACCATCGAATACATTGATTTACAACCATAATTTAGCCCAGAATTTGTTGCTGAGCGGAACATTTGTTGAATGAATTTTGTCCCATTTTATGACCTTTCTTGCCACAGCTGTTAAGTGAATCACTGTAGTTGTGGTTGCTGAGTGAATCTTATTTTCCCATTGACTGTGCTTGTCAGCAGATTGCAAAAGGTGACATCATGACCCTGGAACGCTGCAACTGTTATAAACTTGAACCAGTTGCCAAACATCCCAATTTTGATCACATTATCATGTAAAGGTCATAACTCTGAACGGTCACTAAATGAATTGCTGTAAGTTGATGACTACTGGTAATGGGGAACATGGCTGCTAAATCAATGCTCATAGCATTTTGTGATTCCTTTGCATTTTAGTATGTCTGTTGGGATTTGCTTTGGGTAGGGCAGGGGTAGGCAACCTTGGCTCAGGAATTCTGGGAGTTGAAGTCCACAAGTCATAAAAGAGCCAAGGTTGCCTACCCCTGGGGTAGGGCATCCAAGCCAAGGCAGGCGTATGAAAGGCTGACAGCTCTAATCTCAATGACAAGGAAACGTGTGTTTTTCTGCATGAAAGGCAGTTTGCATGTTGCTCAGAATAGGTCGGCACCTCCCAGAGAGAAAGGGAGAGTCAAAATGGGAGTGTGATGAATTTTTTTTCAGAGCTCTAATTTTAATCCACTTCTGATGAAGAATGTCCTGTTTGCCTTTTTATGTTTTCAAGATATTTTGCAAGTCAAGTCAAGTCCTTCGCTGCCCCACCCAAGGCTCCAGCTTAGGAAATCCAGTGACAAGCCAAAAATGAAAGTCATCTGTGATTAAAAGCCAAAAAAAAGAAACTTATGAAAACCAGCCACTTTATACTTCTTTTAGTTTTGCAAGTCATGCTGTCATCTCCTTTCTTTTTAAGTACAACAGAAAATGATTTTATTATTATTAGGGAGGCTATTTTTTATTATTTTTGCATAGGACTACATTCTGAAAAGAATTTAGCCTGTCTATTTAAAGAACAATTTTTTTTATACAGCCCAAACTCTCCATGGGTGAGCATGCATGCCTGGGTGAAGAACATCTCTTCTTTTTGAGAAAGCTGTTGTTGAGTCACCTTTGTAGGGTTTGTTTCTATATTTGTTCAGGGGGGAAAGCTCACTGAATTTAGTGGGACTTACCTCTCAGCTAGCCTGTCTGATAGCTACGGAAAATCTTTTTGACTGGTATGTTTTGTATTCAGAGGAACAAAGAAATAGCTGTCATGGGGGCTGTTCATAAAACTTTTTTTTTCTTTTTACAATCCTTTAATTCAGGGGTCCCCAACTTGGGCCAGGCTGCTTGGCCACCAGACAGCGTGAAGGGATGGCCAGTGCATGTGCACACACACATGCACTCACCTCCCTCCACACTCGTGCTAGCGCCACCCCAAACATCCCGCCGGCACTAACATCACCCCAAGCATCCTGCCAGCACTAGCACCTCCCCACCCGAGTGTCCCTCCAGCACTAGGGTCGCCCATAGCTTCCCGCCAGTGCTAGCGCCGCCCCATTTGCCCATGCACATGCGCTCACATGCAGCTGTTTGTGTGTGTGCATGCGTTCACACATGGCCCATTTGTGTGCATGCACTTAGCGGTGCCTGCCTCCCTTTCCGGGCTGCCAAACCAAATTAAACCTCTGCTTTAATTCATTTGGGGTGGAACTGGGGCGACTGAATGGAGCTGAGACTTCACTTCCTGATGCCTATGCAGAGTTCACAGCAGATATTTTCTCTTTGCACCCTGATAGGAAGCAGCTACCTAAGATTGAACTCTCAACCTTCCCAGTGGGAAGTGAGCATCTTCACCTCTAGGCCACTGCACTACTCTGTTCATAAAATAAATATTCTCCCCAAATACCAGTTCTCATTATTACAAGGCAATATGTCATTAGGTGAGAAATTAAAGACTAATCGAAAATATTTATTAAAAAAAGCCGTATCATTTTTATAGCATGAGACAAAGATGAAGGAATCTCTTTCTATCCTTGCAGCAATTGTGGGAAGGGAGCCCCATCAGCCTGCTGTAGTTCCAAATCAGGAGTCTGGTAGTAATTTTTTCAACTAACAATTTCATCAAAAGGCATAAACTTTCATGAGCAGCAGCTACTTTCATCAGACGTATGCAGCTCCCAAGCACTTTTCTGAAAATGCTTTAATCTGAAGCTGGCTACCTGATTTTCATATTCCTGTGCCAATGTCTTTTTTTTTTTAAAGCAAAACAAGAAAACCAAGAGCTGGGATTGCAAAGAAAATAAGGGGAGAGGAAAAAAAGGAGGAGTAGTGGAAAGGAGAGAAAGGGAAGAAAGGAAAGAAAGACATGATAAGGGAAGCAAACAAACAGGTACCAGCCTGGAATATCTGAAACAGCAAGCAATAGATCCGCCAAGGTCCTGTGATTTGTGGACCACCAGGATGATCTTCGTTCCTGCTGGTCTCATCACCATAAAGGAGCAATTAAGAAAAGAATGTTTCTCAATTCCCTAGCACCTTCCCAACCCAGGAAATGACATTATGCAAGAGTTTGGAACAGCCCAGCCCTTTGCCTCATTTGGGAGGAGTCATCAAAACAAGCTGTAGAAGAAATGTGAATAGAGGCAGAGAAAGGGAGAGGAAATGGAAAGCTAGATGGAGTTGCTTGTGGGTCCCAGTCTTGGCATTCTTTCTCTCATCCACAGCAAAGCCCCTTCCCTCCTTCCTCTTCCTGCAGATTCAGACCACCCACTTCACAAATCCCCACCATCCCCAAACATTCTAGTTTTCAGTTTGCAACATATTAAGACTATCGTCTAATATGGAAAAAAGCATGGAGCAAAAAAGTCATTGCAACAAGTTTTTTTTTTCTTCTCCAGGATAAATTTGGACAAGGCTGCAACTTTCTCACACCTGATGAATGCAGTGGAAGAATGTCCTTTTATCTGCTGCTGTGAAAGAGGGCAGAAGCCCTGTTCTGCTTCTTGTCAAGCAACAGACAAGAGAGTCCAGTCCAACTTTGCTCTATTAGGCAAACATGGCTGGGTATGAGAGAATCTTGCAGGCATTGTCAAGAGAATGGCCCAATACCAACCACACAAGCCGAGTATGGATTAATCTAAAACACTGTTATGTTATAGCTCAGGGTACTAGATGACCTCCAAGTTCCCTTCCAACATTATTGTTGTTGTTGTTATAATATAATCAGTGTAAAGCACTGTTTCTCAACCTTAGCAACTTTAAGCTGGATGGATTTCAACTTCCATTGCTGGCTGGGGAATTCTAGGAGTTGAAGTCCACCCAGCTTAAAATTGCTAAGGTTGAGAAACACTGATGTGAAGTCTACAGGCACAGTACACTTCCTCTCCCATAGAGCAAGGGCCTCTCCCACAGGCTTCCTTTTCCCTAAAAGACCATGCTTTGGGGATCTTTTTGTAGGCTTCCTCTCTTTAAATTCAGCTTACCTTTCTGTCAGCTATCTGAATTCCTACAGGTTTTTGAAAGCTGTTCCTTCTCCCAGGCCAAGTGCTTCGTTGCATACCGATGAGCTTACATCCGGTTAGTTGCTTCTCTCTCCACCCTCCCAATGAGCTTACCAATGGGGGGGAGGGGTGAGCTAGTGGTGGGAGTAGCAGCCCTCTGTTGTTACTTCACCCAAGCAGGTTTCACTTTTGAATCAAAACTGTTTAGCTCTTATCTACAGCAGCAGCCTACCAGCTGCAAAACTCATGACAACCACAAAGCACACACACAAAAAAAAACACCATTGCTTTCTGTATCTTTTTCCCTGACATCTCCTAGAAATCAGTGTTTCTCAACCTTGACAATTTTAAGGCATGTGGACTTCAACTCCCAGAATTCCACAGCCAGCAATGCTGGCTGTGGAATTCTGGGAGTTGAAGTCCACATGCCTTAAAATTGTCAAGGTTGAGAAACACTGTAAGATGTTTTCAGTCCAGATTAGGTAGCCCTATAGCAGATAACTGCTGTCTTTGTGTCCCTAAGTCTACTTTTGGGACAGGTAAAATTGGCTACCACCTACTAAAGGGCTTTGTCCATGTCTGCTTGGATGGAGAAAGATCAAGGAGGTTGGGAGGGCAACTGCTGAAAGAAAAGGCTTTGCTGGAGCCAAAGAACACCCTGGTACTTTTGGACAGAATGTGCCAACCTAAGATTTACAGGGTGACATTAAGAAGTAGACTGGGAGGAGAAAGAGCAAAAATCCTATGCCTGCAGTTCTTCAGTTTTAAGGGTGAGAAACTATGTTTAAATAAGCTCTAAAATCACCTTCAGGAAAAAAAAAAACCCCAACCACAGGACGTCACAATTTATATTTTGCAGTGAAATAATCTTATCAGAAATTAGGACTGGGAGTGGAGGTAAATCCTGGAATGTAAAAAATAATTTTAGGTAAAATACATGTATTTATAAGAGATAATTTACCTATTTAGGGGTAATTTAGGTGTCTGCATCCTAAATAATTTGGGAAAGGGGGAAAAAAAAACCTTCCACAGTGCCTAAATTGGACTATTCTACTGCAGGTTATTGGTCCTTAGGGGGAAAAAGGTTAGAATTTGTTTCAATCTCTATGGGGTTAAAGTTAGTAGTTATGGTGAGAACCACAGCTTGCCAACTCCAGCTGTTTCCTGGAAGATATTAAAGCTTCCTGTTGCTAATAATTGACAAGCAAGGATTTGCAGGGCTTTGAATCTGAATCTGAGAAGTGACGTGTCATCACTGTGAGCATCTCCTTATAGAAGTCATGTAGAAGTTCTCAGGAACAAGCAATGTTTGAATTAAAGAAGTGGTTCCTTAGTGCAAACACATATTTTCCTGAGGATTGTGCAGCTGCCACACAAGGCTAAGAAAAGATCCAGCTTCTTTAAGATGTTGACTGTTTCAACGTATACTGAAGCTGCTTTTTGGCTTCAGATCCAAAGTGCTGGTAGGACATCTTTAGAAGCAAGGCAGATGAGGTTAGCTCAGCTAGTCTGATCTTGAGTAGCCATGGGCCCTGGACAGCACACAAGAAGTCCCATTAAACACAATGGCAGAGTTAAAGGAGTAAATTATAGTAGATCAATTGATGCATTCACAATCATTTTTTATCTGATTCCACTCAACCTATCTTAAGCAGGATTTATGACAATAACATCTACATTTATTATGTTGCACGGTTCACTTGCAATCTTTAGGATACTTGCTATCAGTGATGGCTTAATTCTCATACCAAAAGTCCCTGGAGCAGGCATCATCTGATCAATAGTTCCATAATATTTATGTTTTGATGCATCGCTATGGGGAGAGAAAAAAAGAGAAGATGTTGCAAAATAGCACATGTCTTTAGTTTATTATTTCCTTTTTTTTCCCTCTTAAAAATTCCATTTCACTTGATCCTCACAACAATTTTACCAGGAGGCTGGGCTTAAAAAAACTAACTAGTCCAAAGTCTCTCAGCCAGCTCCAGGGTCAAGTGGGGCCAAATTAGCTTCTTTCATAGATGGAAGCTGAGCACAAGCTTCTGCTCTTTTCAATGTCTCAGTAAGCATCCAATATTTAACACTGAGGAAAACACAGCCAATCAGTAATGCAAATATATATAACCAGGCTGGATCTAATCAATCAGGAACCAGATGACAGAAGAGAGATACTGGAAACTCTCTTTGTGGTTATTGAATAGCTGTTTGTATTTTTGTTGTCCAGATAGGATTTGTGCTTAAATGAGGCTAAATTTCTGTGACCATTTGTTTTTCTTGTCCCAAAGCAACTAGCAATCTTCTAATTTTTCCAAAACATGTGGTTAATTTGAAATGAAGGGGGGGGAGGTCATAAAAGAAAGGTGACCATTGCAACAAAGACTGCCCAGAGTCACTTTGAAACCAGAAAGGTGGCAAATAAATTTAATAACAATGAAAAAATAATGCTAATAGGAAAGCCAACTTCACTCCTGAGTTATAACTGTATGCACACACAATCCTGAGTTAACACAGCCTAACTATACTTTATTGCCAGGATGGATATATTTTTTTTGGCCATAGAGAAAAGAACACTTACATTTTTCAAAGACAGAGGGCCCACAAACTGGTTTGGTCTCGAATTTTGTTTCAAGAAATTATAGATTTTATGCATACCTCAACTCAAATCTGCAAAAAATTATGCTATGATTTTCAATATTCATGGTCAGAGAAATCTCCAAGAGTCACAAAAAGGGATCCAAGACCTCTTGCAACCGAGGCCTGACTATCACAACTCCATAAAGATTGCTTATACAACTAGTTATACAACCAGTGTATTGTAAGAATGCAGTCATAAAGTGGCTTGTTATTGCACATGGATGAACCCAGCCATTGCAGCTGATAAACCACAAGTTGCTACCGTGTTGTGTGAACTCAGATTGTGGCTTATTCAATAAACCATGATTAAGCAAATTATGAGCAAAGCCTGAGGCCACTTTGCATGCGAGATTAAATGAGCAGCCTCGTGATTCAGTGTCGGGTCCTATGTTCTTAATAAAGAATCCGGAGTACCTTCAGAAGGTGGTTTTGTGCTTTGCTCTCCATAGCTATTGCAAATACAGCGTCTACTATGTCAAGTATGTTTCTTCATTTGAGAAGAAAAGGGCAGTTCAGTTTTTTGAACCAACCCGTAAAACGGGTTGGGCGAACCGGATCCCTGTAATCTTCAAGTGAGGTGAGAATCGGTCCTAGACGATCAGATTCGATCCGTAAACCGTGGTTTCTGAGAGCAAAGCCCCGATCTTTAACCGGAGATTAGGTGTGGCTTCGTTAGATTTAACTCCCAGTCTCCAGAAAGAGACAAAGCGAGGGCGCGGTGGCTTATAAACTGAAGTCAGCTCCGCTCGCTTTTCTCCTAGTTGCAGAGCGTCGCTGAAATACTTAAAACTTGGGGAGGGGGAGGGTCCTGCCAGGGAAGCGGGAGGGTAAAAGGCTCTCACCGGATCGCTTGGCTTGCTTGGGCCATGCCCGCGTAGAAGCTCTCTGGAAGCTAGAAGGGAATCAACCACAAGCTCGCCCGCCTGACTTTCCCCTTACTTTCACTTTCATTTCTCTTTAACCAATAACCCGGCCCCGCCCGACGAGTCAACTTCCCGGTTTGCGAAAGTCTCCGGATTGGAGTCGGGAAGGAAAGCGCGAAAGAAGGAAGGACCCCTTTAGGGTTCGCGGCCAAAATTGGGGGGGGAGGGTGGAGAGGGCGGGGTTCTCGCTCACGAATGATTTGGGATCGAGGCTGGAGATGCTTTTGTCCCTCCTAGAGTTTGCCACGGTGTGTAACGCCACATACATACATGCATACATGAACATTGGGGGGGGGGGAGGTTGTAATCCCTTTGGGGAAAAAAAAGCCCGAAGATTGCGGAGCAAAGTGGCCCACCCGCATTTGCCGAGTGAAGGACTTTTTCTACCTCTGAGATTTGTTGATGGGCTTCAGTCCCAAGTATTAACGAGGTCCTTCCCGGCCGCCCTAAATTAGTCAGTGCTGCCCCTTCTATAGGTATGTTTACTAAGATCCGAATTCAAAGAGATATTTCCCCCGATAAAGTTCAAACATCGCAACCCCTGCCCGCAGTCATGAGAGCCTGACTGATAAATGGATTTGTTTTATATTACCATACAGCAGAATGTTTTCCAGATTTCGGGCACATCTACATTATAAAACTGGTTACGGCAGTGATGACCCAGGTTCAAAAATCTCAGTCCCTGAAACTAATGGGTCCACCCTGGACAAATTATTACCTCTCTGCCTGAACTATCTCATTATTTTGGTGTAAGAATCAATAATGAAAGAGGGAACCATAGACGCTACGCCAGACTCTTGAAGATTTGTTCAATAAGTGTGGAAGAAGGTAAATGTAAGCATGTAATTTTCCATGAGCTGATGAACAGCACACAGGCATGCTAAATTTTAAAGAGAAAGAGAATGAGTATGTGAGTCATTCCCAAAGTGGCTGCAGTGAGAGGATGGATAGTGTGCGTTGTTGACCTTATGCCCTACTTGTGATCTTCTCAAAGTCTCTACTTTGCTGTATGGCTAGACCTTTGACTTCATTTAGCAGAGTTCCCTTTAGTCATTTGAGCAAATAAATCCTTCTAACAAGCAAAATAGACAGTCTGAGTACAAATTACTCCAGCAAAATACCCCAAGCTTAACAAGAATTATCAAATGTGCCTGACCGCTCAACCCTCTACTGAACAACCAACACAACCTATTTATTTTATTTATTAATCAAATTTATATAATTTCCCATCTCACAAGATGAAAAGGATAACATTGCCATACATTAATAACATCTCAGAAATAACCATCAAACTCCTACAGCGTACAGACCAGCTAAAGGCTTCCAGAATATGTTAAGTAAACCAAAAGATTCAGAAGCCCAAGAAGAAAAAAACAGTACTCATCTACAACAATACAGTATAAGGACTATAACAGCCACTACCTAGGACAGACAAATTGAAGATTTGCAGAATACCTCCATAAATACTAACTAGCAGAAGGCACAACAAAAACCATTTAATTGCACAACACATGGACAAACTCAAACATATTTTCAATTGGGAACTCTGAACATCCTAGGGCCATGAGCTGGACATGGCACGAAGAAACTGCCCCCACCCCATTGCCGGCAATGGGGAAAAAGTTCTGATATGTCGTGCGACATCACGTGACATGTCTGCCCTAGACTAAGGTAATTCCTGAAATGCTAAGGAATTCCTGAAAGTTTGGAAGTCAGCCATCTATAGACACATAGAGATAAACCACATGTACACACCATTCAAAAGAAACAATAAAAAGCTACAAAAAAAACCCAAAAAGATCAGAATATATCCTTTCCAGCAGCAAACACCCAGATAAGCAGGGGATTAAAACCAAACAAACTATCAAATAGAAACAATACCCTAATCAAGGAAATACCAATGAGAAAAATATCTCTGCCAGCACTCACAGGGCAAGCTACTATATATAAATGGGGAGCAAACCTCACACTCATTAGCACTGATATTGTTGCCTAGTTGGGTAATAAAATGTAGACAAACAACCAACTCAGGGAAATTTTTAAATGTGAGATTATAAACGCCCAGTCAAGCACAACACCAACGAAGAAGAAAAATAACAGCTTTCAAAAGAAACCAGCATGGCTGCATAAAGAACTCTCTGATAAATTGAAAGAGAAAAGGGACAAGTATAAAAAGTGGAAAGAGGGGCACATAACAAGGCAGAATATCAGCAAAAAGCCTGAGCCTGCAAAGATGAAGTGAGGAAAGCTAAGGTTCAAAATGAACTAAGCTTGCAACAAAAGTAAAAAATAACAAAAAAGCTTCTTTCAACATGTAAAAAACAAGAAAAAAGTTAAGGAAATGATTGGTCCATTAGTGGGAGAAAGTGGCATGAAGGTGACAAGCAACAGGGAGAAAGCAGAACTATTTAACTCGTTTTTTTCATCCGTCTTTACACAAAGGGAAAAAACAGACCAACCTATCAAAAACAGTACTATAAAAAACAGATTAGAAAGACAAGTTAAGATAAACAAGAAAATAGTAAGTGAGCATTTTTCCAGCCTAGAAGAGTTAAATCACCAGGACCAGATGGATTACACCCCAAGGTTCTGCAGGAACTGGCAGATGTGATCTCAGAACCACTGAACTATATCTTTCAAAGATCCTGGAGCAGTGGGGAACTACCATAGGACTGGAATAGTTCCCATCTTCAAAAAAGGAAAAAAATGGATCCAGGAAACTAGAGACCTATCAGCCTGACCTCGATACCTGCAAAGATTCTGCAAAAGATAATCAAACAATGTATCACTGAACACCTAGAGGCAAACAAATTCATTACCAAAAGCCAACATGGGTTTGTCAAAAATAGATCATGCCAGACAAATCTTATTACATTCTTTGACCAAGTGACAAAATTAGTGGACCAGGAGAATGCTATAGATATAATTTACTTGGACTTCAGTAAGGCATTGATAAAGTAGATCACAACTTACTACTTGATAAGATAGAAAAATGTGGGTTAGACAGCATCACCACCAGATGGATTCATAGCTGGCTGACCTGCCGTTCTCAGCATGTGGTCCTCAATGGAATGCATCTACATGGAGGGAAGTGTGTAGTGGGGTGCCCAGGGCTCTGTTCTGGGCCCAGTGCTCTTCAACATCTTCATCAAAGATTTGGATGAAGTGGTAGATGGGGAACTCATCAAATTTGCAGATGACACCAAGCTGACAGGAATAGCCAACACTCCAGAAGATAGGCTTAAGATACAGGAGGATCTGGACAAAATGGAATTCAATGGTGAAAAAAGTAAGATTCTACATTTAGGCAAGAAAAACCAAATTCACAGGTATAGTATAGATGGTACCTTACTCAACAGTAGTAATTGTGAGAGGGATCTCAGAGTCCTAGTGGACAGTCACTTAAATATGAGCCAGGAGTGTGCTCCAAAAAAGCCAACACAGTGCTAGGCTGTATTAACAGAGGGATAGAATCAAGATCACGCCAAGTATTAATACCACTTTACAATGGTAAGGCCACTCTTGGAATACTGCATCCAGTTTTGGTCACCAAGATGTAAAAAAGATGTTGAGACTCTAGAAAGAGTACAGAGAAGAGCAGCAAAGCTGATCAGGGGGCTGGAGGCTAAAACATATAAAGAACAGTTGCTGGAATTGGGTATGTCTAGTCTAATGAAGAGAAGGATGAGGGATGACATGATAGCAGTGTGTTCAATATCTCAGGGGTTGCCACAAAGAAGAGGGAGTCAAGCTATTCTCCAAAGCACTTGATGGCAGGACAAGAAGCAATGGATGGAAACTAACCAAAGAGAGAAGCAACCTAGAACTAAGGAGAAATTTCCTGATAATTAGAACAATTAATCAGTGGAACAACCTGCATCCAGAAGCTGTGAATGCTCCAACACTGGAAGAGACTAAGGGTCTGAAATAGAATAAGGGTTTCCTGCCTGAGCAGGGGTTTGGACTAAATGACCTCCTAGGTCAGTGATGGCGAACCTTTTAGAGCTGAGTGCCCAAACTGCAACCCAAAACCCAATTATACATCGTCAAGTGCTGGGTGGGTGTGGCCCATTGGCTGGGTGTGGCCCATTGGGTGGGCATGGCTGGGGTGGTAACAGCAGACTGGGTGGGACTAAAAAGTTCAATCAATCAATTCCAACTTTGCAAGATTTTTTTTCCCACAAGAAGTTGAAATTGACTAATTGAACTTTTTTTTTTTTTTTTTGCACATAGCGGCAGAGGCCTAAAGTGAAAAGGTTTTATAAAACCCAGCTGAAGGCCTAGGACTGGGGCGACGGCGTGCATGCCCACAGAGAGGGCTCTGAGTGCTGCCTCTGGCACCCGTGCCTTAGGTTCGCCACTACTGTCCTAGGTCCCTTCCAACTTAGTAGTAGTAGTAGTAGTAGTAGTAGTAGTAGTAGTAGTAGTAGTAGTATTACCAAGTATTCAACAATTAGATTGCCTTCACAAAGGATTCGGTTTCAAACTGTTTCCTCTTTTCCCAAAACATTTTCTTCTATTAAACTGATAGGCAAACATCTGATATTCCATAGACCAATGTTCCCCATCCTGATATTTTCCATAGCAATTCCCAAGATCCCCATGGATATCGAAATACTGGGAAATGCAATTCCTAGACATGGAGGGAGCCACATTGACAAACAATGTCTAAACCAGGGTTAGGATTCTAATGTTTCATATTTTGATAACTGTATTTGAGGCTCATTGATTTCCTTTGCAATAGAGTTCTGCATTTTATACACATGAATTTACTGAGAAGTGGATCAGAGGTTTCATCAGATTCTCAAAGGAGTGAATGGCCCCAAAAGAAACAACACTTGATCCAGACCATCAATCTTAGTTGGTGAGCTAGTCTCTATTATGAATCACAACCTAATCTAATATGACAGCAACATACAGTAGTACTGCTAGAATTCTAATAAACAAAAGGTATATATCTAATAAACAAAAGGTAATATCGATACCAGGTCTGGTAAGATCTTTCAGGGGAAAAAAAATGAATTCACCTATAAGGAAAAAGCAAAAACAAAACAAACTTCTGTTT